TTTGGTGTGGCTGGACAGTAATGTGGGATGACAGGACTTGACTGAAGGTAGCTCATTATACTGCACCATAAAATACAAGAAATCAATATTAGTAATGCCTGGCTTCCCACCAAATGGAGTATTGCACAAAGCTGCAGATCTCAATCTGCAGCACAATACGTTTAGAAAAATAGGGAACTGTTTGTTTGAAGAGATGCTGCTGATGCATGCCTCTGAATCGAGTAAATAAGAGCATCCTTATCAGCGAGAGTGTTTGCAGAGATTCATCTGTTTGAATTCAGCAAGTTGTAAAAGTTGTATTCGTCCCGGCGCGCAGCAGCAGAGCGCTGTTGAGAGATATAGTGTAGGACAGCTACAATATCACTGACAGAAAGTACACGTCTCCCCAGAGTCCATAATCATATTTCACTGAGGAATGTGCCGATCCTGATATGATGTAAGCCTCTTTTGTGCTCCTAGGCAGAACACGGGCGCCATTGTCTCAAGGGTTTCTCAAGGCAGTCATACTTTATGATGCAGAAAGCCTCAATCTCATTACCTTTAACAGCTTTAATGCCAACACACAAGTTGACAGCGCCTTTTGCTTTGTGTGAGCGCGCTCAGAACTGAAGTGGCCTGACTTTCCCCCTACAGGGACAAAAGCCGGGGCCCATCCGGTCCTCCCACGGGGTTAAATTAGTTCTCCCACCCTCTGAGGCACCCTCACGTCTTCTCCTGCGAAGGGTTACAGCATGTCTCCAGTGGCAGGGCTCACTTAAAGCCCAACCCACATACTATACCAAGACGTGAGCTATCTTTGAACATAACCTTGAGAAAGTAGGGCTGGAGGGGAGGGTTTGGGTACACTTGATTTGTCTCCTCTATAATAAGGCTACATGATTCGGCCTCTCCGGAGAGCCTGTCACAGAATCACAGAGCAGTCGATGCCGCTGAATGTTGCCCTCTAAAACTCTCCGAACAGCAACAATACATCCAACACAGTTATGTAAGATGAAAATGCGTGGGTGAAATTGAAGTAGTGCATTACCAGGCGGCTCATTAAGCAGATAAATATGAAATATTTTCCTTTTTAACCGCGCTGTACTCTCGGCCTTCGTGTTTTTAAAGAGCAGCTCTTTAATAGGCCTTCAAGGGAATTTTTTTACACTGGGTAAATCATACCTCTGTGTCTCAGCTGCCTTATGAAACCAACCCAGCTGAGACTGTGTGCACAATGTTTTATTGTCGGACGTGAACACGTTAAACCCGACATGCTCATCCATATGAATACTAACACCCTCCAATACTCCTCTGTGCACGCTTTCTTCTGTCTATCAGATCTACCCTCAAGCCAGCGCTGCTGTCAGCCCTCTGACGCCTGCCATGAAATATTCACTATACCATGAGTCATGTTCAGACTGCAGGGAGAGCTCTGCTTGACTATCCTGTTCCCAGATCAGACCTGGCTAAGAGGGACACTGTCACTGTTCGCTTTGATCTTCTGCCGGGCCGTCTCTGTTTACGCCAAACCAGATCCACAAAAACAACTCTGTTTCTGTCATACCCTGCTGACCACATCTGTCTCTGCCGCTCTGAAATCTTGTACGTCTTAGTCTGAGTAAGATGAGGCTGATATAGGCCAGAGAAACAACATGACGGTGTAATGAGGGACAGAAAAACAGACACACAACAGACAAAACAAGAACAAATAAGTATGAGCGTCCTCCGCCTGCATGCTACAACAAATAGATGGTTCCGGATTAAAACTGAACTTGTTTCGTTTTGTGCATGAGTAACCCTTAACTAGGCTAAACTTCCAGCGGCGGTGGCTGCTAACAAGTCTTTTGTTAAATAGTCTTTTAATGCAATAAAAAAAATGTTTCCATTTCTATTGCATGTGATTTCATAATATCACAATCTTTCCTTCATCCTGACCTTCACTTTTATTACCTCCGCCAAGGAGGTTATGTTTTTTTCACAATATAAGGGGGGGCATGAGCTGCTTGACGGAGGTCTGCGCTCTCCGAGTGCTTTTCTAGTTTCTATTGAATTTCTTCTTCTTCATCTTCTTCTTCTTTTCCTTCTTCTCCTCTTCTTCTCTATACCTAACTTTGCACTTAGATCTACTTTACATAGATTTTTGTCGTTGATTTTCCAACATGGAGGGAAACTGAAGATCTTGTGCGTTTCGTTACAGTTTTACATCTTCCTGATTCAGTGAAAGTGTTCATTTGTTATAAAAGCTGGGTTAATATAAACAAATATGCAGTCCTACATATTACAAACATCCAATCAGAGTCGATATGTTAATTATTACTTTATTATATTATTATTATATCATATTATTTCTCATTATTGTGTATAAGTGTCTGCACTTTTCAGGAGTTCCCACATGCCAACCTGAGTCCTTACTCATATCCTGATTGAAGACATGATCAGTTTCTGCTGATACTTATTGATCACTTCATAGGAGAATTCAATGGCTGATTGATTGATAGCTGTGCTGTCCCCGCAGAGATGACTTGAGTTATTCAAAGATTGATTGTTGGTCAAAATCATGGATATATTCTTGTATTGGTGGATCCACAGATAGTGAGAGTATCATGGTACCATCGTCTCTTTCCTCTCACTGAAGTGTATTAGCCTCCATCTCTTGTTTATATACACCTCATCTCGCCGCCTCTCTGAACATTTGCTAAAGAGGCGCCTGAGGAGCTGTTGATGATTACCGGTTAAGTACGTACTGCATGTGAGAGGCGTGATGTTGGTTCAGGGTCTCGGTTGTAAAGAGACCGTAAATTAGCAGAAACAAAGAATATCATCCCCCTCAGCAGCCGTGATTAATCTCACTTTGGGCTTTTAACTGCGGAGCCGGCCACAAGCATCTTCCTAAGTCGGGCGGCATTTGCCGGGCCATTTATTCATTAGAGAGCCCCTAAGAAGATCCCCGGACACCTCAATTACTGCTGGATAAAACGTCTCTTATGTTTTGCTGCCCATTAAATCTCGGACCAAACGGCACTGGAGTTGTGTCACATATTTGACATTCACAGTGAAATGGACAAACACAAGCCGGTTCTGATTGATGAGGCAGTTTAATTTTACGTCCAATGGTGGACCATATGAATCAATGATTCTCATTTGTCCTTAATAGTCACTGCACAGCCTGAAGGCAGACTGCAGAGGATCGGCTCATTCACTGTTTAAAAGGTATTTACTCTACCTCTGTGTGCTCTGTCACCGCCGCTGCATAATTGGACTTTACACGTCTGCTCTTCAAGTTAAAACCAGGTCCTACTTTCTCCCATCAAAATCAGCTTTGGCTCCGTCCGATCTCTGGCCTTTTCTTTGCATTCACTAGAATAATGTAGTTAAGTCTGAGAAACATCGATACTGTAGCTCTCTAGTCCAGAAATTTGACTCCTCATCAGCAGAAATGTCTGTAAATATTGGATAGTTGTTTTATATTCCTGCTCAAGCATGTCCAGGTGTTGTGCAGAAAATCTCCCCAAACTTGTAAAAGTAAAGAAACAGAGAATAATATTTTCTGTCCCAGTTGAGTTTTATTTCTCTGATTGCTCTGAATTATGTGAAAGGCTGTGACTGTGTGGATCAGGAGCTGCACAGAACAGACACAGAAAACTGTTCGACTTCTGAACTGTTTCACCCACCAGGCTGTCGGAAAGCTGAACTCTCTTCCCTCTCTGTCCCCAAAACACCAGACTCTGAAACCCTTCTAAACCCTGACTGGACACACAGTATTTACACTATTTGCTCTCTCTCTTTCTTTCTCTCTCTCTCTCTCTCTCTCTCTCTCTCTCTCTCTCTGTATTTATTTATATGTTTGCACTGTTTACACAAATTCTTACTGTTTATATCAAAGCAAAACTGCAGATTCATCCACCACCTGCACTTTAGCTCATGTGTAAATATGAACAGCAGAATCAGTTTTCGAGTTGTGAGGTTTGCATGTGTATAGGAGAGAATATATACATAGACAAAGTACATATATATTTATATTCCCTCTCCTCTTCTCTTTTGTATTTCTAATATATTCTCTGTATTTCTGCACTGTGGCCTGGAGGGAATCGTCTTTTCTGATTCCTGTGCTCTTACTTGCATTCTGAATTTTGAAGGTTTCTTCTTCTCTCTCAGACATCAGGTGCATCCTTGGCGGTCTAACCTTTTACCTGAACTCAGTTCAAGAGATATGAGGGCTCTCAAGTGGCTGAGAGATATAAAATACAACTTTGGTTTGAATCAGGGCAGTCACGACATCTGATTTCCACTTTGCAGTTTTTGCAGCCAGAAGAAATGTGCTTTTTCTTCTTCATGATTTCGGCAGGACTGACGTGTTTTCATGGGTTTCTAAAGTCCAGGGGTCTGTTCTACGGAGCAGGATTACTGCTTAGCGAGGTAATTTCGAGGGTAAGTTCGGGGTTTCCTGTTCTACGACGCGGCTTCACTTCTTAGCGAGGCGAGTCTCCATGGCAACGTACGCTGAATGGCTAACCTACTCTGGGACAGGTTAGGTTCCAGATTGAACTCACCGAGTATAAAAACCCCGCCCACTGACCAATGAGCTCTCTCAAAAAATTGCTTGTCCGTTCTTGGAGGATCCTGTAGACCTCGGTGCTCGCATTGTCCGAGGAGCACTCCGGAGCGCGAGAGTTTTCAGGGACCACGCGGACCCACTTACTTTTCCAGATGACCACCTTTATGAACAAATGAATGAATTCATCTTGGAAATGAATTAGACATGTCTGGTGCATGCTAAAAGCGCATGTTGAACAGTGCTATTTCAGGATGATAATGGCGTCAAAGATTAATTTCCTGCCAGCGTTCCTTCCGTGCTTTTGCAGCGGCGACGGTGTTGCTTTTGAGGTTTATGATAGATTTGAATTCTTCAGACTTTCTCATGATCGTCTCCTGCTCCTCGTTTGTAAAGTCCGCGGTCCTTCGCTCTCCGGCCTGCTCTGACGCTCCAGACTGGTCCATGTTCACGATTGGTCAGATGCGGCGGGCTCCGCCTTACACGCATGCACGCGCTCATAGCAAAGCTGGATCCACTTACGAGGTTGATAACCAGCGTCCTAAGACAGTTTAACGAGACCGCCCGCTAACGCGCTAAGTCGAGCGAGGTAGCTCCAAGGTTACCTCGCTAGGTTGTACCTGATTCGTAGAACAGGCCCCTGGTCCCGTCAGACGAACACAATAAACTGTTTTATTTGTTTTTTAACATCATGTAAAGGCACAGACTGGATAATCCCTAAAGCAGATAAATTCAGCCTGAGTCCGTGTGGTCTGCTTGGAGTATTAACAGGCTGCACCTCATCCATCCTGACCTAAAGTTCCCTCCTCTGTGTCGGACTTTTAAAAGAGCGTGAGGAGAAAGTTCTCCAAGGACAAACAGGGCTGCCCACAGGCGCCACAAACCGAGCATTTGTTGTCCAGAAAAGTGGACTAATGAGACGCATCACAGCCACAGACAAACATCCTTCAGTGCCTGATATGAGAACACATCCTCCGACTGGTCAGTCCTCATTGGTGAACTGGTTAAGGCCCCCAAACTGATCAATAGAAAAACAGAGAGTCCCCTTTATCTGTGGGCACCACTTATCTGTCTGTTGCTGTTATTTCCGGGGTTGTCGGCTGCTGTGAAACTGACATTTCTTTTGTAGAAAGCACAGTAAAGTCTATTTTCTCAGCCGACGTCGTTCAGAAAGACAGAGTTGTTTTAGAGTACCGTTCAGTCGCCTCTAAAGACCGAACTTTTAAAGTACACCGTGTCCTTTCTTTCTTTTTTTATTTTTGTTACCCACTAGACCTTTTCTGAACTTGTAACCGAGAGAATAAGTGGTTGATATCGACTTTGGAGAAAAAATGTCAATGAGGACGGAAAGATGATGCTGTGCATACTTGTGACAAGCTAAAAGACACTCCGGGTGTGAGAGCGGAGGGCGGTTATTGAACCTGACACTCGTCTCATCAGTGAATTAAGATGTTAGTGCATGCTGTTAACAGACCTCTGAGTCGATGATTGACAAACACCAAAGAACCCAGCAGGGATTTTTGCTCTGCTTCAAGAGGAACCAATCCAGAACGCTCCGCGGTCTCTCTCTGCACAGAAGCAAAAACACTGATTGTTAAAAATCTTAATTCTCCATTGTTCAGAGGACAAGTTAAATCGTCTGCGATAGTACTATTAAAACCTGACAGCGGTTTGAGTTTGGCTCGGTCTTTTTACACCAATCACAAACTTGTTTAACTTCTTCAAAGGGACATAATTATCCGAGTGTCCTTCTCTGTGAATAGCTTTAATGAGAGTAATTTGGAGTGGTCCTCTTAGCGTCAAGAGGCGACTGTGTTGTTCTTTCGACACCTGCTGCCCTGGAGGATCACAGAGAGCCCCTCCATGAATAAAGTCCACTAATAGAGCCAATTAACCAGACTGGCAAGTTTCCCTAGTAATCACCACTAGATGGAGATTGGGCAGCACTTAAGGCCAATCAGAGGGACAGGCAATCAGAAATTAAAAGTCCATTAAGTTTTCGCCTTCATGTGGAATTTGGACACTGCAGGAGGGAAATAAAACACTTTAGAGATATAATATAAAAGTTTCATAGATGTAGTTTTCTGCTCATCAATCAAAGGACCTATCTTCTTAATAGATAGTCTCATAGTATTCAACAGTTTCCACAACTCCTTACAAGGTTTTACAACCTTACAGCCCTAACCTATTCAGACTACAATCGCTTTTTAAACCGGGCTTCAGACTTCTTAAGTTTCGCTCTAAAACTGGTCTTTGGTAGTGCAGTGAGCCCCAAGTGGACACTCCGGGAACTGCAGTTCCGTGTCAGCTTCATTTCTCCGGACGTGAAGTTGCTGCTCGGGTTGCATCAGGATACATGTGGCGAAACAACAGAGATGCTCCTCCTCTAAAACTTGTTCAAAATTGGCAAAACACCCCGAATACATCGATGCTATTGAGCTTAATATGCAAGAATAGAAGTTTACACACTTTATCTTTTTATGGTGCAGGGGCTTCACTGACTATTAGATTATTTTAGCATAATGTAAGGTGCATGAAAAAATGTTGATGGATGGATGTTTGGATAATTAAAAAATATTGACTCAAATTATTCTAACATGCAAAAAAATCAAAAATAACCAAAATAAATTAACCTTACAGTGAAAAAGTGACAAACCAGCAACAAAAATAAAATCAACGTTCACCAAAAGAATGAACCAAAAATCAAACAGAATATAGCGTACATACAGAGACGCCAGGCCTTCATTAAATTGTCATTTTTTCCAATGGGGTTTGGTCAATGTGCACTTGCCGCAGTTTGTGCGGAGCTACATGACTGAATAGTAATAACAAATACTAGTTTGACGAGACAAAGGAAAGAGAAGTGATCTGTGATCTGGATATTGATGAGTGGTGACCTGAGCTGCAGAAATGAGTTTATGGATAATGGGAAAATTATAACAACGATCTCAAATAATAAAATAATCAATTTGTTGATGACTCATTTTTCTTTGGTGGCATGGCGTACATTTTAAATCACTGTTTTTTTTTTTACATTAATTTACTTTTTTTTTTAAACCTAGGTTACATATAGTCCGAATGCATGCTTCAAGGGTGGCCTGTCCTGCATTGATGGTCTGCTGAGACCCTTTACCACAAAGTCAGGCCAGAGTCAACAGTCAGACTGGTGATGAGAGCAGAGGGCGGCTCTGACCTTGGCCCTTACATGCAGCTGAAGGCTCCAGTTAAACAGGCTCAGTATTCATATGGAGGCGTGTCCTTCACTGACAATGAAACTGACTCTACGGTGAAACGTTGGCTTTTTGAGAACCAGTACACTGGTGTAGCAGTGACAAACGCCGCTTCGAAACGGATCATTTGGCTGATAAATCTTGGTCACATGTAGTGGGTACATCTATCGGACCAATCCTCAAAGTCTGAGAGCATTTCCTGAGTTGCAAGACTCAATCTTTAAGTTCAAGTCCAACAACAAATCCCAAACTGAGTATAAACCGGCCCAAACCTCCTCTAAGCAGAGCCCTTAACTGGAAACCCTAGGATTACTGTTTTAAATCACTCCCAGTCAAATCGTGGGCTTCTTGAATCTGTTACATAATGTAAAACACGGTACGGAAACACGTCCCTGAAGTATACGTTTGTTGTTTGAAATAAGTCTGGCAGCGGATGACTGAAGTGGATTTGAAGCTTGGCAGAAAGTTGGAGTAGAGAGCTCCAGTAGAGCACGGCATCAATGGAGTGGCTTGGAAAAACATTTATAGCGAGGCTGCTGTTGAAGTGGAAATGTAATATGTATTGATTTGAATGAAATATGGCACAGAGAGAAACACTATCGCAGAGAGATCAGTCTAAATGAAAGCAGAATTACAGACGTCAGTTAATTTCCTTAAATGAGAATCATGTTTTTTATTTTCCTGTGAGAAAATCCTCCCCAACATTTCATGATATAAACTCCTCAAAATAATAAGACGGTAAATTCCTGGTATCTCTTGCCTCCTTTGGCTCTCAGCAGAGTACTACAGTTGTTGTGATCAAGGTCAGCTCTCATCCTGCAGACCTGATTTTCCTTGTCGGTATTCCAAGCACCTCAGAAGACGTTGGCAGCAGTTTTTACTTGGCAGATACCTCCCCGACCCGATAGGGCACACGGAAGAGACGCTCCCTGAATAGTCGATTCTTCAAACCTGTGGTCAGCATTCTGCATGCGTCCCTCGGAGCTAAACGCTCTTCCTCCACTCTCCTTTTGAGCCTCTGACAGGAAGGATGCGATATTGCACCTGGCCTCTTTCATGGCTCCCCTCCCCCCTTTCGCCTCTGCCTCCTCCTCCTCCTCCTCCTCCTCCTCCTCGCTGTGGAGCTGTTCCACCTCTCCACACTAATTGTTCATTCCTTCTCTCCCTCTTCTTCCGCTCTGACATCTCCTCCCTGTAGAGCTCCAGCGCTCTCGCCTCGAGAAAAGAGGACAACTCTTTATTCAAACTGTTAAACAGATGAGCTCATAAAGAAGAGCAGCTCTGCACCCCAGGATAGTGAAACGGTGAAACCTGCTATAAATCTGTTTTGATGTGGGCAAAGTTTCAGCACAGCGGACCTCTCAGATGCCAGAATGACTAACAAAACTTCCCTCTGCTCGGCCGCCATCCGCCCGTGTTGTCTAATGAAGCCCAATCAGAGCGAACAACCTGGCAAAGGATCTCAATCAAACTTCATTTTCTTTTCTAATGACTCCCTCTGGGACTCACAGGTCCTGGCCTGATGCACCTTCAAATCCAGCTCCAAGTCCAGCTTTTCTAACAAGCATCCAAAACCCAAATGTGGATGTGTCCTCATTAAAGAGCGGATAAATTTAGCAGCTTATAGAAGAGCGGTATTTAATCCTTTTTTTAAAATGTGCATATACATGAAGGAGGAATTGGACATTGTCCATGAAGCTGCAGGTGATATGAATCTTATTCTGATCAGATAGTGGAGATAATGCAAATATCTGCACATACATTAAACTGATTGTCCCTCCATTGGGAGTATTTTGTGTTTAAGTGTTTTGTGCACGTTTGTGGTGTGAGAATAATAAATTCACACATTTCAGGATTGGCTTTTAAAGGACCTTGAAATCATACACTGAAAGGACTTTTTTAATGATGACATGCCAAACAAGAGAAAAGTGTTTAAAATATGGTTATTCTTACTGTTGGATACATCATGCGTTCTGCACTGACTTGATTGTTTGCAGCGCCATCTTCAGGGTAAAATACGAAAACACACTTGCAGTAGATTAGCTGCCCAACATCATTCTGTTTTCTTCTTTATATGATTGGCAAGTATTTTAGAAGCCTCATCTGCTGTTGCCGTGCGTAAACAGCACTGAGTTAAAAAAGAAGTTTAAAATGAGGCCACATTTTTGACATTAAGTCTGACCCAAAACATTTGGAGATGCGCTCTGTTTTTTTAAATCAACAAAGAAGTTTAATAAGTTTAAAAAAATATTTTTTTTGAGTGACTGCAAAAAACGTCAATAATAACCTTTAATTTTCCAGACACTCTCTAAAAAATACGTTTATATCTTAGTGAGATAGAAAAGCCTGACTTCACAAAAACCTGAGAGCCACCGGTCTCACAGAGTGAGTGGATTTGACAGTGATTCTGCATGATACTAACCTCAAATATAAAATGATGTTTACCACAGGATTGACTCCTAAGGCCCAAATATGAAGGATACCACTTCTTTCTGATGTATTTTGCAGGAAATAGTCTTTTATGTTTGGGTGAGTTTTTTTCCTTTAAAACATCAAAGATTGTAAAATACCTCATCCTTACATCTGCTTTATCACAAAGGCTGCACTCATGACCACACTATTACAGTGATGCCCCCACAATAGAGCTGGTATAAGGGACCAGATTACTATTGAACCAGTATTTTCTTTATGCCGGGACATACTTGAATGTGAGCTTGTATTATTCGAGCGGCGTAGGACTTCAGACTGAAGCCCTTTTAATGTAATTCTTATCTAATCTGCAGAGACAGGAGAAAAAATGTAATTAAGGACGAAGAAAACTCAGGTTGCAATTTTCTGATTGCTTGTAAGTATTTGTATTCACTATCAGTCGTCTTCTTTTCACATTTAAGAGAGACATGGAACTCTTATTTTTATTATTGTGGATTTTTTTCAAACTCAGCAGATGGAAAATCATATCAGGGAAAGAGAAAGTATGAATTCAACAGCAGGAAAACACAAGTTTACGTTTTCGGAGTGCTTTGAAGACTTAGTATTCATTGTGCAGGATCCTCCTGTCACTTGTGAGAGTGATTAGGGATTCATTATGAACACGGCCTGTCAGTGCTCGGCTTGTGTACATGTGTGCAGTGGATCAATGGTGATTCTGCAGCATGGAGCCTCGGCCTTGTCGTGGGGCGAGGGGGTGTGCAGGGAGACGAGCGGGCAGATTAAAGCAGCTTTGTCTGTGTGTAAGTGGATTATCAGCAGGTAGAGTGCTCCCCGTGTTGCCGCAGCGATTGTGTTAGTGCACTTCCTGCCTGGCCACAGAGAGGACCATCTGCCATTTAGCCCTGATGGATGGTCCCAAGCAGACGTCAGTCTCTTCCATGCAGAACACCTGCTGAATCCTGATCAGACTGTTGGCTTATATTAACAGAACCCATCACTTTGTCACCATAGCATCCGCGTCTTACTGCTGGAGTTCAGACTGCAGCAACCGTGAACACACACACACACACACACGTGAACACACACAGGCTGTAAAACAAGGGTAACAGATTTCGGTGCTTAAAAACGGTGGCGTTTCTCCAAGACCGACCAGACCCAGTAGACATAAACAAGCCTCATTATGGTCCACATTATGCCCATTGCTCTTTATTTCAGTGAACAGACTGTAATATTTTGACTGGCATCAAATGGACCGAACCGTGCCAACTCCTAACAGGATTGTGTGTCTTGAAGCATAAGCTCAGCCAGCGACACAGTACAGTATGTCTACTTCACGCACATAAGACAGAAACGAGGAACAGAAGGACGAACACGACAAGCCGAGCTTAAGGAGGAAGAGGAGAAGGAGGAGGAGGAGAGTGAATACAAGATGACTTTAAAAGGAGATATCCGACTCTGCAAAGATAATCAAAATCTCACTGTAACCCCGCGGATCAGACGGGTGCATCTTTCAGACGTTAGCCGACAGAAACTTTAGAGGAAGAAGAGATAACGGCCTTTTATGTGACAAGTCTGCAGACGTAAATGAAGAGAGAATTTATCCATACATAATAATAGGGAGGAAAAAAGACAGAGGAGCGCTTTGATGGCAAAAAATACCAGAGGTTGTCAAGTGACCATCAAGCACTGAGATGCCAAACAGAGCGTTAACAAATGGAAATTTCCTCCAGAAAAACATTTACACCTGACTTTATGCAAATATTCAAAAACAGGGTGTGAGAGAGGAAACTTCCTGACAGCTTATTTATTATTTTTACATCTGAGAAACGCTGCACGAACGCGCTGACATGTTTGGAGCAGGACGAGAAACAGTTTCAGGTGGATTTCTGGAATAAAACACATAAATATGCATCCTTGCAAGATGGCGATACCTTTGTAATTTGTAAAGGTTTGGATGTTATCTGCAGAGCTCACCAAAACAATCAACAAATGAGTTAGCAAGAGGCTTTTTTAACTGAGGTATGACTGTGAATGTGCTGAACCTGAGGAACGTGTAAGAAACTGTTATTGAATAGATTTATGACAAAATGATTAGCAGGTTTTCGTGCTTCAAGAACTTTAATCCGGTGTTTCAAACATTGTAGATTTCTGACGGATCATTAAACTCGTATCACTCTGGATATGGGACCATTTAGTCCACTGAAAAAGCGTCTTTGTCCGCCTGCGCTGACTCGGAGGTCCTGTCATGCAGCTACATGTGTGTTAGCAGATAAGAGTGAATCACTGCGAGGGCTCAGGCTTTATCTGGATCTGCATCACTGAGACACAGGGGTGTATCTTTTATTATTACCTCTCCCACCATTGTTTTTTGATAAGCATCTGCAGGTTTTTGTCATATATGTGGTGCCTTTCTCTTCCTGCACGCTCTTTGTGTTGTATTCATTTTAACCGAGAGCTTCTTTTTCTCATTAGGGCGTTTGTAGAGCCGAGCATCAACTTTATGTGCAGTGATTCGGTGTGAGTCACAGAACAAAAACCTCTTTTGTTGTGGACTGAGGGCTGTTGACCCTCTGAGTGTGGCAGCCGTGCTCTCAGCCCGATCAGGAGCTCCGATATCCACCACGAGACGGCGAGGAGAAAGACCACGTCTCCTCCTGATGGCCCTCTCCCGCCACTCGTCACCTTATCTGGAGTCTGTCAGGAAATAAATTAAAATACAGCCAAGGCAGGGAAACAGAAGTCGTGTCCTCGGTGACACACGTGACACTGGCTGATAATCTTGTTTCGTCAATAGTGCTTCATAATTTCATGCATGTCGGATTGATTTCAGTTTGGTTTTGGCGATAAAACGATGAGTGAGAAGAAGAATCTCATCATTTAGATGTGACACGTGTTACAGATGTAATCGCTGCTGAAATCTTAATTTGCAGAGCAGGAGGACTTTAATTAAAGGGAAAAGGAGATTACAGATGATGGAGTGTTTGTAACAATAGAAGTGTGCGAACAGCTGCTGACTATGTAATTTTCAATGAGCTGTCTTTTATATTTCTTACACTGATAAGGCGAAGTCTGTAAATTTAAAGTCTTCGTCATTTTCTAAAACAGGCATCTGATAAAGTCCACAAATGAGATTTTATTTCCAGCCATCTGATATTAACCCACATGAAGAAACATGTTGGTGGTTCGCTGCTTGTAAAGATGGCTGAATGTGTGAAGTATAACATTTGGCGGAAAAATCGTCAAAGCGATCGTAGTCGTTGCACCCAAACTTTCATATAGTTACAGATATCACAGCGTGGATTTGATATCATGATAAATAACAAAGTTGTAATTGTGATAATATCCTATTATAGACTTGTTATAATATAATCACATAGATATATCATAGTACTGTAATTACGATAAACAGTGGTCCTTTAGTGGTCGGTGTTTTGGACCTAAGATCCTCTCAAACATAACTCCTCCAGAAGGTGAAGGTGTAGTTTCTCCTGCTGTTCCTGCAGCTCTGCAGAGCCGCTCACCCACACGGCCTCTCCGGACAGACAGATGTTTTTTCATGGCTGTCCAGGAAAAACAGAGTGTTGCTTTAATCCAGTGTGTGAATCATGAATGACTCTGTCCTGATGTGAGTGAGAGCTGTGAACAATACCGTTAATTAAACTAGATCAGGAAGTACAAAGGCTCATGGAGCAACAGCAGATTAGAGGATGTTTTTTATTAATTTTTTTTATTTATAGCAAACTGCCGATCTTCACACGTGTGTTTTGTACAGAAAGGTGAACGAATATGACTTCTGTGCACTGATTGCATTAAAAATTCAGCGTGTTGCACCTTTAATCTCAGTGTAATCTCCACATCGCTCACTGTGCTCCATGTTGTCTTAACCTGTCGTAGCTTTATGGTCCTCCAAATAAAGCAATCAGTCCTGCAGGGCAGAGCTGCTATCTCACCAATAGGTTACAGATATCAATCCCACGCCTGTGCGCATGTTGGAGTGTAACACCATTTCTGCCTCTCTCAATAATAACACTAAATCTACACCACAGCCATCCATCCGCCGCTCGCCGCCTCAGGCCAGTTTTATTCTATCAAAACAACCAGCGTGGCCATTTCAGCCCCTCCACCACCTGCAGTGCCTTTTACTGCCCTTCCCATGAGCACCCAGCGCTGATATAACCGGAAAACACACCCACTCACCTTACTTAAGCTAACAGCCCACAGGTGGAGCGGTTCTCCCTGCAGCAGCAAACACACTGTGGAAGGGGAGGACGGGAAAGGCGTTTAACTCTGGTGCCACGGAAATCTGATTTTCAGATAAACTTGGAGAAACAGAACAAATGTTAAACGCTGGAAAAACTAAAATCCACCAGAAAGTTCCAGCTCCGTATTATAAAGTCTGACAGAATAGAGAGACTGTTAGAGATCTGCTTAAATACAGCTTCAGGAGTTTAGTTTAGTTTGGATCTGTGATGATTTCTTTTCCCTGCAGCTTCATAACATCAGGCACCAAATGCAATGCAGGGCTATAACGTTCAATCACATTCAGAGCTCTGAGAATAAACAGGAGCTCAGTCTGAAACCAACATGCAGCTGGAAGTTGACGTTTTCAGATTGTCAAGGTAGGGTGTGTAGAAATGGGAATATTCAATATGTGGTGGTCTGAGTCTAGATTAAAGTAGTCTGGTTTTCCCTCCTGGTGTTGTTAGTTTTAATTCTGATTACACTGCGTTTGATGTTCCTTCATGCTTCATCGTGTAGGAGGGGGGTAATTTAGTTTATATCACGTAATAAACTGACATCAGAAATTCAAAATGCAGCATCAGTCATGTCTGAAAAGTATCTTGAGTCCATTTTCTGATGGTCTTAGTCTGGACCTCAGAAGTCCTCCAGATATGATTTTCGGATTTAGATGAATTTACGTCGGACTGTTCTCGCTCCAGACTAAAACCTGCTCCAGTTTGGTCCAAGTGTACACCTCGAGTGTGGCGCAGTGTTGTTTTTGGCAGGCATTTTAGATTTAGTTTTAGTCTTGACGGCGGCTCTCTTGAACACACACATTGATGCTGTCGTAATAATTATTGAATCATTAAGAAAACCCCAGTATCACAGAAAAATGATATGTAAACGTATCACAAGAAAAAGGTCTGTTAAATTTTCTAATATCTACGCACTGTTCCTTTAATTCTTTGACACACATCCTTTCTTAAACTGTGACTCTCTTTAGGGTCTCATGACGCAGGTTTTTATGTGCACTGTTGTTGCGTTAAAGCCAAGAAGACGTCCGTCAAACATGACCCTGCAGCTCACCCTCTCCGTCTGCAGAGAGACGCTGTTTTTGTTTCAGTTTTTAACTTCAATTTTCAGACGCTCCTCTTCAAAAATTCAAGCCAAATTTCTGAGGTCTTCAGAGGTTGTTTGAAACCTTTGCATGCTTGTTTCATCCTGATGGTTCTCTCTGAATGGTGACAGTTGCACTCAGCCAGCACCCGAATCTAAAGTGATATGGTGGTCTATAAAAAAAGAGCCCCCCGCCCCTCCTCCGCCGCTCCCTCCTCCATAGCTGCTTTCATCTCTCTCATCTGAGTACAAAGTGGATGCTGTGCTGCTGCTGGGACACAGCCAGCCAAGGAAGGAAGGTAGGAAGCAAGCAAGGAAGGAAAGAAGGAGTCAACGCCTCAGACACTGACTACACACCATATAATCACTCCTGACTCCACTCTCTCTCACTGGCCCCTCTCCCCGGCTCTCTCTCTCTCTCTCTCTCTCCCCCCATGCTCGTAAAGACCCCGGCTTCCTTTTTGCAGGAAAGACATTTTGCTATAAGTGCTGTGCTGTGTGTTTCCTGGGCTGCAGGATTACAGGTTATATCCAGGCCTCCAGATATACACCAGCAGTCCACTGTCCCACTGACCCTCCAAAGCCTGCAATTTAGCAGGGTTATTTATGGAGCGAGGAGAACACATCCTCCGTGCCTGCTCCTCTCTGCTTGCATGATGCTGGACAGCAGCAGAGGCCCTTCACACTTTTGCCTCGGCCCCCCCACCCACTGCTTGGTGAGCACGGCACTTTCTCTGCGAGCAGCAATCCTATTACCCTTCTCCGGCCTCGTGGAGGGACGATAAGAGCAGCCCGGCGCCCTGCATGATGGGCAGCGCTGAGCCTCCTTTAGCTGCGGTAGGTGGCTTAGCCGTGGGAAGAATGCTCCAGCGAGCTTTTGCTCTCATCATTTCAGCGGGAATTAGCTCCTGCAAAGAGGTGTTTGTTAAAGATGAAATTGCCTGGAGGAAAATAAACCAAAATGCGTCTGTCAACAAATCTGTAGCATAAAAGCGAGCGAAAAAGACATTATGAGGATAAACAGGGCAGTAAATAGACTCGGTACATCTGTGGAGAAACGGCATTTCTTTGAAGTTTGAAAACATGAAAATGTCATTTTGAAAAAGGACGGTCTGGATTAAAGCTCATTGATATCATCTCACAGTTAGGCGTTATCTACTCTGAAACAGTCTGTAAAACCATAAAAGGTTATTTGTTCACAGTTTAGTTAACGTAAAACTTCAGAGTCTCTTGTATTCGCCAGTTTTCTGCTGCTGCACGTTTCGACTAAAGGAACTTCAGCGTCAAGTAGAGAGGGACTGTTTAACAAAAATTAATCTGATTGTTATAAATTTTCGATGTTTTTTTCTGTCTGTGTTGAAACTACTTTAAGTGGGTATTGTGCAGGCACCTTTTTGGGCAGACAGAGTCCTTGGGATTCAACCGATTTTTGTTTAGGCACACATACGGGCAGTTTTGGGGTCCTGAAGCTTGTTGCGATGGTGGAGATTACCGCGAAATGCCACAATCAAATACAAAGTTGATCTTTAAGTCGATTGTTGTGCGTTCACAAGGAAGTATTGATAACGATGAGTGTGTGTTTTCAACCGAGTATGGCTCGTGATTTGCATAAAGTTATATTTACCGAAGTTATCATACTGGTTATATCGCGCTGCTGAAACTAACTAGCAAAGCTAATACTCCAAATCGAAGCACTGGTTTAAAGGCAAAGACAATCTTCACCACAGTGAGCAGCGCACAAGCAACAAAACACTCACCATTAACTCACCGCTTGTTTCAAGTGTATGACGTCTTTGCTGATTTTTGGCTCTTGCTGCTTTTTTTAAGAGCAGCAATGGAGTCGTGAGAACAAAGATTTCCCCCGGTAATAACAGAATCAGTGGATTTACATCTCTGTGTTGTTTTCATGTTCACTGTAGATGCAAAATAGAATCTGGTGCTCCTGCAGAAATCGAAATGAGATTTCTCCAGGTGTCTGGAGCTGAAGCAGCGCCCGTGACGGCACATATCAGCTGAGACGGACTGAACACACGTCTTATGAAAGTCTCCGGTCATGCTAACCAATATCATCCCTGCGTTTTGATATTTATCCACATTTTACAGAAACAAAATAGTTGTCATTCCAATAGCAACCATTTCTGCACAGCGCTTTGAGAAATCCACTCTGCTCCAGTGTATCCTCCCTATATTTGCCTGTGCTGTGTGCCACCAGGGGCTCTGACACAGTTAGATATATTAAAAATCAGACAGCCTATCTCATCCTCCTCTCAGCACCTGAAAGGAAATGAATGTCACCTCATTGAAATTGGCTCTCTTTCATGGCAGAGGAGTAATATCATTTCAGATGTCTATTTGCTATTTGGGGCTGCATTTTCTCCCCCACGTTTCTGAGACGCTCTGAACTTTGCTGGCTTTTGATTATCTTTGAGTCTCTAAATTCAAAAACACATTTGATGTTCCTGACCTCGAGACTGCACAGAGATAGACCTGGACCGGCGGCCTAATTTGCACCATGCATTTGTCAGATTTTCATGCATGAGAAGGTCAGCCTCAAATCCTATAGCGACACCCGCCCGCCCCTGTTGTTGGAGATGGTTCAGGTTCTGGGGTTAGAAAAACAATATGCAGATTGAGGCGAGGTGTCGAGGAAGAAGAGACACTGTTAGTAATTGGTCAAAATGCCTGAAAAAAACATGTGTGTTTACCTGAAGAAGATCTACTGTGGCGGTGGGAAATATGTGGGAGTGGACAAACATGCTAACTTAATGCAAATATATGTTAGTTATGCCACATGAAACCAGCTGTTGAAACTGTGAGACATCTGTTTTTGCAGATTCGATCGTCGTCTTAAATGTCATTATTGTCCTCTATAGATTTAGTCACTGATTTGAGTCAAAATATTTTCTGCCTTCAGACTAATTCAGTTAATCAGCCATAATTAATATCAGGGTTGTCTTAGTGTTTAAATCTGCTAATTATCACCCTGTTAATGCTGTAAACATTATATATGAGGCCACCATGAACATACTATTTCCTTTGACTTTGACTTCAACTTGACAACATACTTTCTTCCTTTGCCTAATTCTCGTTTTACCGACCCGACCTTGCTCTAAAGTTTGGACTGCTTTGAGTCTGAGAGGAGCAGCTGGAGTCACAGAGATGCTTCAAGGTTCTGCTTTTGTCTTGTTTGATGTACTGAGTTGTGAAATTTAATAGCAACATGACCATCTGACCGCTAAAATTCTCATTTATGTGCTTTTATACCTGTTTGCTGCTTGATAACTTTATTAGATAGTTTATACACTTGTGTGCACCAGTACTACCCAACAGCTGACTCGATTAGCTCAAAGATGATTGGTTTTTGGGTTTTGATAAAAATGCTTTATTGTGTTTTTAATGGGCCCAGCTGCATCTTCAATTTCGATCATCCAGTGTTGATTAAACGAACAAAACATCTCTGAGTCGGCTCTTTAGTGTATTTCTCGGGTAAATTGAGGTCTGGCTGCAGAGTGGCAAAACTCAAACTGAGAGGTGATTGCTTCTTTGTTATCTGATGGACTCTGAATGTCCAGGCGTTCCCCTTCAATGTTTTCTTGTCATAATTATCTCACAAATGAAAACAAAAACTATATTTGTGTGAGTTTTTGTCATCATTTATGTATTTTAGCTCGTTATCTTCTCGTTGTTGTCATGGAAAAAATGTTGGTAATGATAATTTTCTTCATTTCATTCTTTGAGTTTCAATAATCCGGTTTCTTTCAAAGCTTCGGCCTGCAGCAGTCTGTTACATAAGAGGCATAGAGGAGGATCTCCTCGTATCTAAGACGACATTTTGACATTGAATGTAGGTTACATGTTTTGTTTTGGTCTGTGGATAAAGGTTTGATGTACAGTAGCTCCTGTTTGAGTGTGTGTGTGTGTCAGCTGACGGGGTGTTTCATTGTTACATGTGTTAAGTGTGAAAGTGCTGACAGTGCCGTTAACCCTCTCATCAAAGCCCCTGCTTCCCTCTGAACCTGCTCCTCACTCAGCCCTTTATGTGATCATCAATCCCGGTTCAGCCCCGTACACTGCGCCTAATTATGCCGAGTCCAGCAAGAGGCGAAGAAGGAGCCTCCAATGAACGACGCTAACCCTGCCAGAGCGAAAAAAAGAGCGAAAAGAAGAAGAAGAAGAGGAGGAGGAGGAATGGATAATTGGGAATCTGGTCCCTTTTTCCTTTTCTACTTTCAGTCCTCTCCAGCTCACCCGGCTTCATCTGCATGTTTCTGAAGGTTTCTTCAATTACTGAGGCAAAGCCCCCGACCGCTTCTCCATCCGCCACCAGGGGCGAGAGCAGGAAGGTGTGTGAGGAGATGAGAAAATGGAGGGATTGTGGGAACAGTGTGAGTTGAATTAATGGTTGAAATTAGCACTTCTACAGGATGGAATAAAATTAAATGTGAGGGATACGTGCAGTTAAGTGCCTACTGTTTAAAATACACATTAAACTGACAGAAAGATCACTCTTAACCATCCCGGCTCTCGCTGCTGACCTGATCCTCATTGGCCAACATATGCTAGAGTAGATATTTCCCCAGAGGGACTCCTCACATGAACCGTGCACCGTAAAAATGTCTGAGTGACGTCAACTAAAGCAGAACGTGGTGTGAATCAGGACCCCTGAGGGAGCACAGAGATGTCACCCATTCATGCAGGGTTTACCCATCCTGGGATGAGTCATTGACTACCTCATGGATTATCAGTCATCAGAGAGGACAGCAGCCTTTAAATGTCAAAGACAGAGTATCAATCTTATGGATATATTGACTGATTACAGACATCTAAGTTTGTAGCATCTGCTGGAACACACACACACACTCTAGATAACAGTCATGCACACATAGATACACACAAGCATTAAGACCGCCCTCACACTCTATCTCATTCCCCGGTTCTGCAGAATCAGCTGCAGCAGAGGTGACGATATGAAGGGGCTGAGGGGAGGCCGGCAGAGGTGAAAATGACAAGAGACCCGAGGCAGGAGAGTGGACCAGTGATTTGGATTTACGGTCTCCTTTTCACCCTGATTGGACTGGAGGTTAATGGTGTTCTTCGGGGAAATAAATTGAACAGCAGTCTCGCTTGTAAAGAGTAAGGGGTAATCTCCAGTCCCGAGAGATGAAGCCAGAGCAGGAGTGCCAAAAACTGCAGTTCTTCAACTGTCCACTTGAGGCTGGCTCCAGTCGTGAGTCAATCCCTGTAGAGCCAGGTGATAAAATGTTCAGTTTAAACCGTAATATAAGAGTGGTATGAAAACAGTTGTCAAGAAAAAAAAAAAGACTCACCAATGAGGAATATTTTATGGCTTTAACTGTGAAGGTGAGAGCTGCTTATAGCTGTAAGATAATCTCCACCATCACCTCATTGAACCAGTCAAGACTGATCAAAGGAGGGTAAACAAAATACTAAAAAAACGGAATTAAGGCCATTTAATAAGAAATCTACAGAAGAAACTGTAACTATTGCTGTCTGACAGGAGACCTAGAAGCTAGAAATACTGATATTTGAGAGATCTTTGCAGGAGAAACTGAAAATGTTGCCCTAAGATACATTTGCAGAAGAAGCTAGAAATATAGCTGTTTTAGGGGAAATCTTTGCAGGAGGCGGTGAGAGTCAAAGAGCTTGGTCCTTTCAGGCATGAAAATTGAGCATATTTGCAGGATTACGGGAAATGTAGCTGTTTGTGGGGAAATCTTTGCAGGAGAAGCTGTAAGTGTTGTGATTTAAGAGAAGATCTTTGCAGGAGACGCTGCGAGTTAAAGAGCTTGGTTGTTTCAGGCATTATAATTGAGCAGCATTGAAAGAAGTTAACGGGAAACTTGGCTGTGATGCAAACTCTCTCCATTTATGCTTCTCCTGCTTCTGTTTTAAACACCAGGTGAAGTCTGCATCATGCTTGTTCACTTACCCCCTCTGTGTGTCTCTATTTATTTGTGCTATTTGTGCATTGTAGTCTGGACTCTCATGGGCATTTCCCCGTATGTTTACCTGCTCCAATCCACCATATTTGATTACTTGTGTCCTCAAAACACAGAAACCACACTCCACAGCAGTTGTCTTACAGTGATCTGCAGAAATTCAGCAGTCTTAGAGGCTGTAACTGCACAATATAGTGATAGAAATATTACCATCCACTGGGTAGTAAAGCTGTAGCGTCTCCTTCTTGTGTCTCTTAGAGGTAAGAAAAGAAAACGAGTCAGGGACTTGTTGGCGTTTCTCGGACTCCTAATACTGTCCAGGCTTTTGTTAAGAGCTTTGTAACCTGTGAATGTCTGAAGAGCTTCAGAATGATTGACCACCGAAAGTGCTTTTTGGACAGAAAGAGAGAGGAGGAACCATGGCTATTCTGGAGTAACTGTTGAAGCGAGGCTTTTAAGAACAAAAAAATGATTGCTATTAAAATAGTTTTCCATGAGTCATTATTTCTTCATCATTTTCCAGCACAGCGAGCATGAAAAGCTGAACGACTGCGGCCTCTTCACAGCTGCCATGTAAAAAGGTGTCACCGTGCTTTAACCGCAGAAACCGGCTGATTGTTACTCTCTGTAAGCCCAGATTTCTTAATACATCAGCGACAACAGAAAAGGGCACTTTCATGGAAAAATCAGGCCTGCTTCAGCTTAATGCTAATAATGAATACAGCTAAATTATAGAGAAGAAAAGTGGCGAATCCGACGACAACCATTATCTTACATTTTCACCTGGAGAGGTATTGAAAGAGCGACTTTCCTCCCTGTTTCCGCTTCGGCTGCTTTTACTGGAGATCTGCACTCATTGTTTCCCTTTTCAGTTTCCATTAGTTTCCCCCTAAAATAGCAGACAGCAGCAAAAAGCTCTGGAGCTAATCTCCTCCCTCCTTGTTGGTCAGTATCAGCCCCGTCCTCGCTCTGCCGCTCACTTTCAGCAGAGATTAGGATGTATGAATTCATCCGGCTGGCTGTGGCTGTAGCAGAATAAAATGAAAACATGTGAGCCTTGTGCTGAAACACGTGTGCTACACATCAACCCATACACTGCCACTTTATATTTCTGATGACCCCATAATTCCCACTTGTCCCTGATTTATCACAGAGAATGGTAACAAAACCCCTCCATGCGCCGCCACTGTGCGTTCACACACAGAGACCAATGAGGGGCGAATCATCACTCCGTATGAATAAAAATAGATAACATTACGGGGGTTTCATTTCAACCATGTAATGTTGCTGTCATTTCGACTTCTCCGATCCCAATGAATGCCACACCAGAGAAATATCCCCCAGATCCCATGAGGGGAATCTCATTCTCACGCGGCCATAAGTCCTGCAACATCCTCAGAATATAAAATCACACAGCGAGGATGAGTGGAAACAAAAATGCCACTGGGTATAATAGGCAGACCTATTAAAAAACATACTGTGGTCATGGGAGGAGGGAGTGCGGTTGGAAGGTCACAGTGGGGACCAACCTAATTTACTCTGGTCTGTAATGTTGCCCAGAAATGATCTAAAGTACTTTCCTAGCTGTGTTATTGCAGAGGGACAGCCTCTCCTCAAATACATTAATATTCTGCCATTTCTAATTACTAAACGACCTCCATCAAGACCAGTATGGAAAGTTCCCCACCAGAGATTTCACCCTTTTCAGTCACTAGTGTCTAAAAAAAAGGAGAGAAAGAGAGTCACTTTTGGACAACACAACATAACAGATTAACAAAGCACCATATTAACCTTCAGGTGCATCTAATTGTTGGGAAATTGAATGCAGCTCTCAGTGAGAAGGGAATCAATATATCGAGCTGGCCCGGCTTACAACCTCTAATCCTGCAAATCTTCCTGAGGTCCCGAAGTGCTGTATTGAATATCTGAATGACTCGGCGAGCACTGCTTAAGCATAATTTATGTAATGCGTCTAACTGTGTCCACATTCATTATTGTAGTGCCCGCTGATTTCTCAAGATCAGTCGACCTTTCTACCATCCAGATATATTTAGCCGCAGCGGCTATTAGTAAACGAGTTAGGTCGCAATCACATCAATCTCAGAATCCATCGGCTATCCTCAGAGGACAATACAAGCCTCTGGGGATAATACGAACTTCTCAGTACTTGGAGGTGTTGAACCACCTTCAGACGGTTTCTGTTTCAATGCAATGCATCATTTAAAGTCCTATTGGCAGCCTGAGGAATGATGATGTGGTCAGACTGAAAGAGAAGTGAAATATGTATCTCCAGGTAAATGGTGTCTTTTCTTAGAAATGGGTGAAAGTTGCGCTTTCAGCCTCATTCCGTCTCATCTAAAGGCAAGAAAACCTCATTTATTAAACACAAGATAACAGAGTCTGCAAGAAACAGACGTGGAAGTAACTTCACAGAGAGGGGCTAACATGAGCTCTGATCAACATGTCTGTGCTAGTGACACATTTATCTGGTTTTATGGCAGTTTAAGTTGCGAAGCCTACATACAACTAGAGATGGGTGCAATTCATCAATTTGTTGATGCGTCGTGATGCTTTGTGAAAATTCGGCATCGATTAATAAACGTTGATGCTTAAAATAAATAAATAAATTGATAACAACATCAATGCTGGAAGGTCGGAACAAAAAGAACGCGTAACCGGAACGTTAATGTGCGCCGCCTGGACTGTGAAGTAAGTGGGACTGGCAAAAATGAAGTACCTCAGCAGCACCACAGCGGTTCATCCTGGAGACTGTCTCCAAATTTCTCAGTTTAAGTTAAGTATGTCAAAGTGCAACAATCATACAGTCATAAAATAAAATACTTTGTGTCTTTGAAAAATACAAGTCAAATGTTCAAAAAACCTTGATATTTACTTATTGAGTGTAGTTTTAGAGGAACTGAGTTAAGCTCTTTATTTACAAATGTAGTCACAGATGAAGACAAAATCAATCTTGTACAGAAAAAAAGCATTAAAAATAGCAAAAAGCGAAGAATCGTGGCACCAATAATCGAATTGACAATCAGTATAGTCGGAGAATCGAAGCTGCAGTAATCAAATCGAATAGAATCGAATCGTGAGATACCATTGTTGGAACAACCTGACAGAAAATTTGATCTCTGTTCTTCAGTGCAAAATACTGACTGTACAACATCGAATATCTGTGCTCGTTTAACTCAGGGTAGTAGATCATCACACTTGTATGAAAGATTTGACATGAGATACTGCTGCAGAACAGTTACATAATGGAACAAGTAACCAGAAGATTGTATTTCTATATGAATTGAACCCATTTTCTCTCCTTTTCTGGGCTTGTTTACATCCAGGTAGTGAACAGTTATATATGACCAACATATGAGGAGCATCTCAGACCTATAATAACAAAATAAAAGGGGTGAGGTTGGGTAAACATCTCTAAAAGAGATAAATAAATCATTGTCTGGATCTACTCTGCCTGCTGTTGCTATCTTTTATAACTGTTATCTGTATATATTTGGTCCTTACTGGGACCACAAATGTACCAAGAACCGGATCCAGAACACTTTCCACACTAAAATCCAGGCCCTAGAAGAAGCATCCATCATATGTACCTGATTTCAGCTCCAGCACAAAAACATACTCTCACTCTTTTCAAAATGTCAGCTTTACACTCGTCTTTCCAAAGGCTAAAATATGCAGTGTATCTCTAATGTGTTCAGATCCCATCATGCATGGCCTTGATCCGAGTAGTAATGATATACACCTAGACAGAGGAACATCTGAAGGCGTGAATGGCACAGAGAAAATAAAATATCTCTTTTGTCAATAGCTGAGTGGAGCCTGTGCATATGCTCCACCGCCCACATCCCCTAATGTTTATCATGAAAACAAACCGCCTCCTCTCTTTGTTTAAGAGCTGTGACTCTGCATTATACTGCTTTTAAAGAGAGCACTGAACAGATATTTCCCTCCCAGCTTCATTTATAAGGACTGGGTAAGATAAGAGATTATCTGTATTTACTCCACACTGAAGGAAATTCTTGTACAAATAATAATAATAATCCTGATACAAGTGAAAGTTTAATTGCATTATTCTGCACAGTGCATGGCAATACCCAAAGAGTTCAAGTGCAAAGTGTAACGTCACAATATATAAAAAAAGACAGACCTGTGCTGATATAGTGCTGAATTATTGCACAGCATGGATTAAAAAATAAAAGCACATATGAAGGATGTAAAAATAGATGTACTGAAGCATGTATGTACCACAGATTATTATACACAATATGCATGAAAACAATAAAGATCACAAAGATCATGTAAATACCTAATGTATGTACCGTATTTTTCGCACTATAAGGCGCACCATTAATGAACGCGTCTGTTCGTGTCTATTTACATACATAAGGCGCACAGGATTATAAAGCTCATTAAGCAAAAGAGTCAGATAAGTCAAACTTTATTCAACTCATTCAGTAACTCTGCGAGGCTACGGTAGCCGCAGAGCTCCGACAAGCCAAAAGGATTTTAGGTGCGCCTTATAGTGCGAAAAATACGGTATATGGAAGATCTGACAGACGTACAAGTGCAGAATAGTCGCACTATGTAACCAGTAATAAAAGATTGTATTTGGTACATTTTAGGGCTGGGACTCAATTAAAAAATCTGTGTAATTAATCAGAGACTTTATTAATTAATCGCATATAAATATTTGACCTGAAAACAGTGAGAATTAATTTCTTAAATTGTATATGAATGAATCACTGTATAGTGATCTGAATGAATACATAAGCTTGAGCAAACAAAACCTTGTTTATTTTTTTCAAGGTGATACTGAACCTTAACTTACTCATCTTGGCTTGAATCCACTCATCTGTTCAATAAAACTCAAAAATAATATTGCATTTGTAATGTCGAAAACACATGAAAATTCCCATAAAAATTTGCAGTTTGCTCTTGTGTTGCGTCTGGTTTGGGAGATGAGCTGTCAGCACCTCCTTTCTGTTCAGCACAGATCTGCACTTGTCCATGTGTATGGAAAGGAGACACAGATGGGGTAAAAATATCAGGGTTCATATCCAGCTCGCTTCTTGGAGCGATGGCAAAGAGGAACTTGTTCAAGTTATAAAAAGAGCACCTGTTGTGCAGAATGGCACAGCTTGTATGAGCACCAAATGAGTCCATACTGGCTTATTTGCTTGTATGTAAACAACATTGGCATGCAGTTTGTGTTGCATTTAACCTTTTGCATGCACTTCATAATTTAGATCATATCTTTTTGGCTCATTTGCACCAGTTACACCGACACAAAAGCTGCACCATCCTTCTGTGAATCAGGCCAAGAGCGTTGTCCTCTCTGCAGGGTGAGGCAGCCTTCCTGCCGCCCTTCAATCACGGGTTACTGGGCCACTTGTCATCTACAGTGACGCCTGTTATTGAGAGGTTTCCCTCAGGCCGCCTCTTTGTCTTTAGTGGCTCGATTAAATTATTGTGACACCTGGCGTGGATACTCGGCTGTAATGGCCCTTCTTTTCATCCCGGCCTTTTTATCAGCATAATAGAGCTCTGATGAAATATTACAATCCTTCAGCTCTGGCTCTGTGCTTCACTGACTCAGTGAGAGAAACAAATCATCGGTGCATTGGACTTAAATGATGTAGCAAATTAAAACATGCAGCCAAATAGGTGTGAATAACATGAGGAAATAGCAGACAGTCTACAAACCCTGCACATTGCGGCTGTCGGATGAATTATTTTTCAAATGCAATCATATTAAATGTTAGCTCGGTGACTCGTGCACAGTTGTCATGTAAGTTGGTGGTGGGTGGTGATATTTTTAACCTCTCGAATGTTATAACGCTCTCAGTCTGCTTTTATTCCTGGAAATAGAGGAGTGTGTTGGTAAGACTTCTCCCCGTGACGCCTCACAGTTACACTTTGCCATATATAATGCATTTTATACACCTTTGTTATGCAAACGAGGCATGATGAAAAGAGTTTCATCATTGAGAAATGGAATTGTAGCTGCCCCTCCTCCTCTCTGTGGTGGTAAGTGCTGCTGGAGGTGCTGCTCTGCACGGGGAGGAAAATCCCCTCCACTCCAATCTTGTTGAGCTGACGTACTTGGCCTTTTTATATTTCATGTCCTTTTTTCATGCAGCACAGGGTTGGGCATGAGGAGGCTGCAGGGGGTAGTTCAGAGCAGTCAAACCTGAATATGGAGTCACTTTGTCTCCCTGTAAACTGAAGAATTCTCTTGGTGTGTAAATAAGTGCAGAAACTACAGGCTCTGCCTTTTAAATGAACCCGCTGGTTCTGGATGAAAGATATTAATTATTCACATTGTATCTTGCTTACACTTCCAATGCACAATTCCTGACCCTGCACATTTCGAGCATATTTAACTCCGTTCTATTGTTCCCCCTAAATGCTAATTCTGCAAGAATCTTAAACAGTCCTGTTGCAGCTGTGGATCGCAGTGAGAGTTCAGTTCTGTGCTCTGCTTCCTCTCTGCCGCCTTGGGTGACAACATAATAATTGATAGCCAAAGAAATTATGTAGGAATTGGATGCACCAGCAGTTGGGTTGATATTACATCTCTCTATCGACTTTGTGCTGCCTTGGGGTGGTCAAGATCTTCTGCAACAGAAGTTTTCTGTCTGCGAACTTTTGGGGATGCTTCCTTTTTCATTCTCTATTAAAGCTGTCACAACTCCTAAATTATTGAGCGGATAAAAATGAGTCACACTCGGATTTAAAAGCTAAGCCGAATATTTATATCCAGTGAAACTCTAGGATTTTTACAGTCAAAACTTAAAGGTTATTTCCTGCAATATGCAAGAATAATATACAGTGAGCAGATGGTTGCAATGATTGTGATTGTTGATAGTTAAGACCTGCACAGTGATGAGCTGAAGCAGTTTGAGGTGAACAGAATTAAAGCTGCTGTCTGCACTACATGGTAATTTTTAAGTAATGAGTTATATATTAATTAAATGATAAAATAAACTAAATTGACACTTTAACAAACAATTTCTAGAGCTTTTAATTTGCTCACAAACTGTGCAGGTCAACAAAACGTTCACTTTGTCCACATTTCTTCCCCTGAAAAAGGATCCATGTGGCGCTTTTTAGATATTTTTTGCATTGATGGGTGTCCATGGAGGGGCACTTTATTGGGTTTTATACTAATAGAGCATCTAAAGGGCGCTTCCCCATATTTCATCCTTTACAAGAGCAGCTACCAGAGCAATTTTTCATGAATATTCCACTGAAAGAGCTCCAGACAGGGATTTTTATTATTTTTTTATTCATCATAAAAGCATCTTAAAGGGCACTTTCGCGGTTCTTTTTATTCCAGACATGAGGGCATCCCCCCTGAGTTCAGCAGCGTCTGTATGTGTGTGTGACGTGACTGTAAAATGTAAACATGCACACAACAAGACTCGATTCAGCTAGAACCAAACTATAAGACTATAACAGTAACATTAATTAAATATCACAGACAGGAGAAAACATCCCATTATCATTTTTATACTTAGGTCATGGCTGCTATTAATAAGTCAGCAAATAAACACAACCACACTGAAGGTCACACACTTGACCTTGTCTTTCCCAAAGGTCCTCGCTGTAACAGAATCATTAACAAACCTTCCGTTTACGCTGATGCGGATAATATATTTATTATTAAAGACGTCTCAAAGCACACTTTCCCCGTCCTTCCTTTTATGAAGCTATAATGGACTATCTCCGAGGTACTTTGTCTCAAATTTTGAATCATACAGCTCTTGAAAAACCTTTTAAAACACACGGCCTGCCAAAAGCTCCTTGAAGAAAAGGGACAAAATAAGGACAAAGAAAATGGAGAGCAAAAATAGAGAAAAACAGACTGCAAATTGTCTTTGAGGACTATTAAGTTACTCTTCACTGATAGGTGGGGAAATCTGCCAGACCACTTAACATTTCTAATGTGATACATATTGATGAGAATGATGCTTCAGCTCTGTTTTCTTCCACTGGTGCTGAAAAAGTAAAGCTGAGCAGAATCGCCTGGTTGAGTTTTTCTGCCTCGTCACTCTCAGAGTCTTTGGCATTTTCCTTTACATTTATCAGTCCTTAAACACGCCCGTACCCCTGTCTGTGCTCTGCTAAGTGTTTACTTCAAATGCCGTCTTCAATCTCGTCGATTTCTCTGTCGTAGCCTTCAGCTGTAGTCTTTAACCTCTTTGGTTTTTTATCTGCAGTTTTCTCTCTTGCAAACAAAAGAAAAGGAAGCAAACTGATGTAAACAAACTGATGTCATTAACCGGACTTCTTTCTGCCCATTGAGCCTGTGCTTGGAGCTGTAACCATAGCAACAGTCCATTCTTCATAACAGCAGTCGGCTATCAAGAAATAACAGATTGGTGGGTAACAATTTACAATAGAGTACAATCACTGGGTAAAAAGTAAGTACTAGTTAACAGTAGGTAGTAAGAAACTCCCCATCCTAGTATTGGTACAAGGAAAAAGTAAATATGTACTGATACTAAACAAGATTAATAAGTCAGCTGATCGCAGACACAGCAGAAGAAAACAAAGATGGCAGCCTCCGTCACACTATTTCACTAAATTTAAACATTAATGGTCACAGATCACCTTTTTTTTTGAATAAATGGATCCATAAAGTCTCTAAAAAAAGCCCCTGACTGTAACTTTATTTACCCTAAAAGGTTTTATTGATCAATACAACAACCCCATTTTTTCAATATTTCCATTTTATATTCTGGTCAATACCAAGCTTGTTTGTGAACCCTAATTGGTTTAAGCCTTGCTTTGAAGGCAGTTGGGTAATGATTCATTATTGAGTAATTACTCAGTATGTCGCCTCACTTTACGATAATCATTAGATAGTGAGAAAGTAATTTCATTACAGAAGGACGACCCAATGTGGCCCCACTTTGTTCTTAATTTAAGACACTATAAGGAGTGTTTAACTGGTTGCTAAACAGGTTTTAACTGATACTGACGCCTGTTTCAGGGCCTAAAAGGCAAATTAGACCATCAGCAACAAGTCAGATCATTTCACAGAAGTTTTTTAATGTTTAAAAACAGAAATTGACAGCAAGCTAAAAATCTTTTTTTCAGTAAATACTCACACCAAAAGATATATCTTGTTGTTAAAAGACAACATTATGACGTTTTTGTCTACAAACCTTGAATTGTCATAAATGGGATGATGTATAAGAAGTATACCTTTGTCCACAGGGGGCGCCAATATCAACACAAACCAAAAGTTCCTTACAGCAGCTTTAAGTCAGAATCAATAATTTTGTATCTCAACATTGACTCCCAGTAACAATATAAATGTAAATGTGTGTATTCTTGCTGTGCATTGACCAATCAGAATCAAGCACCAAACACATTGTGTGTATTGTCATTTTGCACAGCACACACACACATGCATAGAAATGATATGTGCACACACAGAGACCATCATGCCTTTACATATTGTGTGTAACTCCAATCTTCTCCTGAATGACTGTACTGTATAGTGTTCTTGTGGCGTATATGATTGCCTGTCAGTACCAACACACGTTTCTCACGGTCATATAGGCAGCTGGTCTGTTTGGGATGAGCTCTCTATACAAAGCTCTGACGCTCTCTTTATCATTCACACATAATTTCATTATTTTCATAGCACCCAAAGTATAAGCTGCTGAATTTATCAGAGCTGTCACATGGCTTTCTTCTGCACAAAGCGTGTATAATGCGTGCACAGGGACACAGAACACGCCGAGTCAGAGCAGGAAAACTTCCACAAAACACAACACTTTTATTCATCTCATGTCCTGTGATTATTTCCAGCAGCTCAGAGCGAGAAAAGCTTTGCTATCTCAAAGGGAAGGGGAAATAAGGAAAAGGTAAGGCACAGTGAAGCTTAAATTGAGGCCATTATTGAGGGCAGTGAGGGAATAGTCTGGGGCTGGACTAAAAAAGAGCATAGGCAGACAGAGTTTTAGTTAGGTCAGATGAACACTGATGGCTCTTCTTATAAATCTCTGAACTGAAACAAAGGTACAGAACATTGAATTCTCGCTCTCACCTGCCAATTTGACCAGACACCTGTCTCCTTTTTACTGGCAGAGTGCAGCCGTTTGATATAACTGTGTGTTTAAACCCTGACTTGATATTTCTCCCTCTCGGATTCAACATAAAGAAAAAACTTCTGAACGCTTTTGACGTTGAAAACGTCTATTTTTTCCTGACAATTGAAGCAGCTGCAGCTAATTATCTCTGATAATGGAAACATGCAGAAAGATTTGAGCTTCTCTAACATGAGAATCATCATCAGCTTGACAATAAAGGTCAGGATTGTGCAGCTGTGAGGATGTTTATGCAGAAATACAAACTGTACTTCAGCCTGCTGAATAAATCTGCAGTGTGGATCATAAAGCCCGTCTCTTTATGTTAACACACAGGGGAAATATGGGTTCATTTTAAAAAAGTTTGAGATCTACTGTATAACTTGGAGCTTTGAACAACATCCAGATCTGATTTGACTCGACAAAAGCATCTGAGACACTCCTGCAGGGGCTCTGTGATCCTGTAACTGGTTTTGTGACTTTTCAGTACAAATGTTGGATTTTATAGAAAGATCCGCCGCCATGCTTACCATCTTGAAACGGGGTTCCACAGGGCTCTGTACTGGGTCCCGTCCTTTTCACAATCGACAGTATTACATCTGTATTATCAAACTGTAATACTCGTCTTAATGCTGATGATACCGTTTTGTATCTTTTTGCGCTTAAAAATGCGACGGCAAGCACTCCTAATTTCTCCTAAATGCAGATTAAACTGAATATATGATACAGAGATAGATTAGAAAGCAGTCCACACATTACAGCTCCTGCAGGTAGTCGTATAAAAGGGGTCGCTCAAGTCAAGTATCTTGGTATCGGTTGGATGAACCAGAAAGCTAAGACAGAAAATAGGATTTGTGTGCAGAAACAGAAATAGAGCTGATGTCCTTTTGGTTTGGAGGACGCAGATAGTGGAAGCCAGTTTGTGTTTCTTGTCTGTTTTGGATTATTGAGACATTATCAATAGAAATACTTCTGCTTTCACTCTAAAATCACTAGAGTCTATGTGTCACTGTAACTCCACTCATTATTGCGGTTTTTAGGATAAAGTTGTCTGTGCATCTTAAACAGTTAGTTACAACATGTACTTCCTGCTTTACTTGAACAGCACTCTTTTAGAAAAGGTGCCATCACCGTATCTCGCTCTACACAAAAACTCACAACGATCCAGCAGCTGGCAGTCATGCTGACGGGTCAGTCTGCAAACACCTCTAAACCTCTAAACTCTAAAATATAAATGAGACTATAAGAGATAAGTTGGACTTTAGATGTTTCTGTTGTTTGTCTGTTGACAAAACTCTAAGAAAACACGATTTGTTCAGTGACGCATGAGAGAAGGTCTGATTGTTTTTCCTCACAGATTCAGTGTCAGAAAGTGTTGCTGTAGCTTAGCTTGCTGCTTGTCTTTGCAGGTTTGCTTTAGTGTTATAAAACTCAATATAATGAAGAGTAACAAGTAACTTAGGCTTTGCTCACTACACTTTAAAAGTAGCTGATTGTATAGGAGTGAATGTTAGCTAATACTCTTTGTCTTTAACAGCAGAAGTGGTTGGTTTTGAGCATGTGTGTGAAGAGATAGAGATGAGGGTGTCCTCATCTTTTGGCATCCCCAGTTCAACTCCACAAAGAGCAGTAACGGTCACCATCTCCACCCCTCTGCAATCAAACTGCATGGATTGGATTTTAAGATGCATACAGCTGCAGAAAGCAGGACATAAAAAGGACAAAAGGACAAGGGATTGTGCTCTACTTTTCAAATTAGGCCACAAACAGGAAGAGCACAGTAATATTTCACAAATATATCCCTCCTCCGTGATGTTATTACACCCCAAACGATAATTCAAACAGAAACTGCAGTATGGGAAAATGTTGGGTCACTGTGAGGTTAAGCAAAGAGGAAAAAATGGGCATCGGCGAATGGAAATCACTCTTGTAAATGTGCATTGAGAGACGCAGAATGCATCTTTGTTAAAGAGTGCTGAGTCCCGGTCTAGTTGATATTTCTGTATTTTCTGACAAAAGAAGTACCTTGTTGCCAGTATAATGTCTCTGTTGATTAGCAGACGTCCTGCTGCCACGTGATAAGATCCTGGAGGAGATAATAAGCTGAAAATGAGAAAAGGCACATTTACGGCGTTTTTTTCCCCCCTCGATATCCGTGCGGTACTTTTCTTTTCATATTTTCACAAATGCAGACCATGAATGCAATCAAATAAAATCTGTCACTTGACATTTTCTTTGTGCGGAGAGGAAATAATTAAACTGGAAGGCAGCTTTTTCCTGTGTTCCAGCTCTGAATGAATGCTCACGAGGCTCGACTCCTGCATCTCTGTATCTCTCTGTCTCACATTAAAACACATTAGCCCCCTCATACAGCCCAGAGAGAGAGAGAGGAAGAGAGAGAGGGGCAGAGCATGTGTACAAATGAATCAGTGCTGTTTGTTGTAGTGTTTCAGGCCCGGGCTGTTTCAAGTAGCTTATTTGAGAGCGCTGCAGATCATGTTTAGTAAGCTGGCTCTCATTATATCAGACCCTGGGGAGAGAAGGGCCCTCTCACTCCATACTATCAAAGCCACGGTGCTGCCTTAGAGGACATGCTTCAGTATGAATACAGGCTCTAGAGTACATACAAAAAGTAGCACGCTCAGCCCTCATCACCTCTCTCTGCAGGAGGCTGCCAACGTTGGAGGTTTTGATCAAGCCTCGCCGTAATGGCTGTGGGTGACAGGTATACGAGACCATAGTTGTGGGAATAAATAGCTTGATTAGCATAATGCATCACCAACAAATTCAGCTTTCAGAGCACGTGAAAGGACTACTTTTTTGCCTGAGTGCAGCATTCATGCAGCTTGTGGGATCGTATTTCATAGGACAAACACACAATTATGTAAACAGGGTATTTACCTCTGCACCGTTGGAAGGTAATATAATTTACTTCCACTGTGAACCCAATCCTCCCTCTCTGTGTCGTCTGTATTTTGGGCTGCTTTGAATAGACTCTGCAGCTCCCTTTGTCCACCAAAAGCATATTCCCCCCTTCTTTTCAGGAATCATAATTCAGCTGATACACACAGCGTTTACCTCCAGAAATCCCAGCCATATTGATCCGTGTGGAGCCGAGCGACGTGGCTATAAACAGGCTAATCTAACATAAAAGCTGGCCTCTCAATGCCCCAGCCTGTTGAAGCGATTTAGCCGTGCCTGGTAGCAATGAATAAATAAATAGATAAATGAGACGCACAATCTCGGGCTCGATCCGGCGGCGCACACGACCGGCAGCTCAGAGATTGGAGATTATTGGGAATAATATCCTTTACGTTTTCAGGTCTTTAGCGCCGCAGGCTTCGGTATGGGGATGACGAAGCCCGGGCGGCTATCATCAGTCAAACTCCTGTCTCCTCCTCGCCTCCTTTTACACCTCACGTCTGACCTTTGTGACCTTTTGCCATTCTCAGGTGTGATTAATCGCTTCTTCGACTGTCCACTAATAATCTATGTGATAATTATCCAGGGAATGACCACTTTACCTGAATACTATCTACACCTCCATCCCCTCTGCCTCCCTTCTTTCCATTCTCCTCTCACCCCCCGCCTTGTTCCTGCCTGACTGGCTGCCAGTCGGCTGATGTAAGAGTAATAAGGAAAGTGGGGGGGCTTGGATACCATTACATCTGTCAGGATTACAGCAAGTCTTTATAACCTTCAGAAGCCCTTGGCACGTACTCTCACAGCACTTACTGAGCAGTTTCTGCACAATATATACAAAAGCGCACTGTGTTGTGCGCGTTAAATGCTTTTTTATAGATACCGGGGCTGTACGTTTTCATCAAGGTGCTCCAATAACTCTGTTACTCTATATTTTAATGCGTTTTTATATCAAAGCCTTGCCAAGCCGTACAAGTAAGGGCAGCTTTCTGTATCTCCCAAGGAGGATTATTATAGCCGCAAAACACGGGACTGTTTGGAAATTTCATGCAAAAAAAAAATAAAGAAAGAGGAAGAAGCAAAAGTTGGAGTAAAGAAACAGAGCAGAAGTTTGTGATCAGAGGTTTGTATGCAGCTTGTGCTTCAGACTTGAAGCAGATTAACCGCAACATTAGCATTTAAAATAAGTCTGTTTGAATGCTCAGTAAAGTTAAGAGTGATAAATTACTAAAGCACTGAGTTACAGCAAGTTAAAGAATGCAAGAAGCATTTCTGCACCGTTCTCCCTCACTTGACTCTCAATTGTTCATTGTCTTAATCATCCATCAATAGCAGAATAGTAAAGTAAGCTTTCAGGGCTAAATCAATATTGCGGCTACTTCTAACTTCTTCAAGTTAACAAGGTTTTTACAAAAGAAAAGAAAAATTCCTGCTGAAAAAGCTGCAGACAGCATCTCACCAGAACATCTTTACACAGATGCATAAAACCATCAGAATTATGAGGAAGTAGGAGATGAAACTGGAGACTGTAATGTACCAAACCAGAGCTGCATGTGTGATAAACTGAGAGTCAAAACATGAAGACTGACAGGTGAGATAAATAACATGGATCATTTTTTTAAGTTGCAACCACTGATGTTAAAATATGGATCAAATGTGGAAGTAAACTTCACAGTAAAATAAAACTGCAGTTCCCTTAGTGTCCACTAGTGGCTGTCTCAAAGAGTCCCGGAAGTCCCATTAACATCCATGTTAAAATCTCTTGAGCAGAAATAAGCATGTTTACGGTCTTTGCAGCTGACTTGATTGTCAAGTGGTGTTTTTGTAGTTAGTCCAAATTCGGAACCCAGGACTTTTATAGAATATAGACATAGAATGAAGACAGTAGTCCTTTAGAACTGAGTTAGACCTCAAACTGCTGAAACAGTCCATGTTGGTTCTGGTGGAAAGTTTTCTGAACACATCACAGTTCTCTGTGAGGCTCTGTAGCTGCAGACTGGGCAGGGTCTCCATGCTGGATGAGCCCATTAGCGTCAGAGCTGGACTGTGCTAAGGGTGGATCAAGATCAGGAATCTATGGACAACCAAGTAGGATCAATTCAGGTCCCATCTTGCAAAATCCAGAGTATAGAGGGTCTGGTTTTGATGTTTTGGCCCCTGAAACATGGCACTGCTTCTGAGTCCACGTCTTGTCAATCAAGGTTTCAGGCCTTGTTACAATAATCTGTGTTTTTTTAATCTTATTTACTCCACGTTTGACTCAGCCAGCCTCCGCTCTTTTGATGTTTATAGAGATCTAAGCGAGTATTTCTTACCCGATAGTTCGTTGGTCATGACTGGAATAAAAAGTCGAACCCGTCTTTACTGAAATGATCGATATCTGCGGCTCTAATGGAAACACGATTACCTTTAGAGAGAACATATGGTTTAACTGTTGTACGAGGGAAAGAGCTTTGAGTTTCCCTCTGAGAGTTGTTGAATTAAAAACCATATTTCTAAATAATTTCCTTTGATGAATTCTTTAAACCCACAGCTGTGTTTCCCTCCTCTCTTCGGCCATTATTAATTCATTGACATTTTGCCGGGATGGAAATGATCAGGATGTTGTGTACGTGATCGCCTGCAGTGAAGAACGAGTTGATGTTTGATATGCTGGTTTTTCTGACTCTTTTCTTTTCCCTCGTGTGGTATTTTTTGGAGACATTTCTATCTTGTTGAACCCGGCGCCGCTTTGATGCATGTTAACCAGAGAGCGAGGAAACAACACCATCCCTCTCAGATACCGGGGGGACCTTTTGGTTCTGTTCACAGACTTATCTGCACTCAGAACAATCAATCTCAGAGAGCATTAAGAGTGTTGATCAGCGGTAATCCACCGTCCTCCCTCCAGTCAGACCCGGTCTTTTCATCCTTAATTCCTATTGAACTGTAATTAAACCCTCAATGAGACTTCCCTTTCTTTGGGCAATCTGATCCTACTGTGTGTTAGTATGCGCCCCACTCTGCTCTGCTCTGCTCTTCCTTCCCCCATTAGCCAAAATTATCATCAGCCACATAAAAAATTCATCTGTAAAATAGAGATATTTATTATTCACTTCTAGTATTTGAAGGAAAATGTTGTATCACCACTTTAAGTCTTCCTCGGTTTTGCACGGTCTGCTGTGTTTCCCTTCACTGACAAAATAATTATAATTAGATCCCTAACCAAGCTCTTTATTCCGAGCTCAATTACGTTTCATTTAAATAATGAAAATGCTGAACTGTAATACTTGTCACCTCTTGTAAAATCATGAAAATACAGTATTTTTAACAAGTGCAGCAGAACAAGTTTGGATTCTGTAATAACAAGTGGTCAGGATTTTCAACACAGCTGGAGATTTTAAGTCTGGGTATTTTATCTGTAGAAGTAGCTGAGATACAAGTTTTGTTGAAATCACACCATATTACTTCTCTGTCTCTAAGGCCCAGATCTGTACTCCCTTCGTACAACATTTTCTGTGTTTTGACAGGTCTATCCCAAAGTTTTTACTGCGGTTGTAACCTTTGCTGTGATTTTGTTTGGTTTCCAGTTAGTTTCTTTTTATGAAAACAGAAAATGAATTTTCTTATGGAGGTTTGATTAAAATTTTCATGGGTACAGGTTTGTGTTTATACAGGGTGAATCTTTAGTCCGGCAGAAACTTGATTTAAATATTAAAGCTCAAATTTCTTCATGTTTAAGACGATTTGAAATGATTCAGTTGTAAATGACACAAGTGAAGTTTAAAGTCTGTGAGGGCAGGAGTTGTTTTCTGTTTTTTCATCCATTCATCCATCCATTTACCCGTCCATCCATCTATCTGACTATCAATCCATCAAACTGTTCATACAAGAATTGATTCATTTATTCATCCATCCACCAATCATTTGTCCATCCATCAATCCAACTATCCATCTGTCTATAAATCCATCCAACAAACTGTCCAAACATGAATTAATCCATCAATTCATTCATCCATCAAGCCATCCATTAATCCGCCTAATTATTTATTCATCCATCCGTTCTTCTACTCATCTATTGATTCATCATCCATAACCCCATCCATCCATCTATTCATGCTCTCATCCATTTATCCATCAGTCGAACCATGTCTCCATCCATCCATCAGTCAGTCCACCCATCCTTCAAACTGTCTATACATGAATTCTTACATTCATTCATCCATCACTCCTAATATTCATCCATCCACCAATCATTTGTTCATCCATCAATCCAACTATCCATCTGTCCATACATCTATCCACCATACTGTCCAAACATAATTTCATCCATCGATCCGTTCTTCTACTCATCTATTGATTCATCATCCGTCCATCCATCTACCTATTCATACCCTCATCCATTCATCCATCAGTTGAACCAACCATCCGTCATCTACTTATCCATCCCTCCATCTGACTATACATCCATCCATCCATCCATCCAACCTCTGACTCATCCACTGATTTATCCATCCATACACCCATCAATTCATCCGTTTAAACCCTTTTCCATCCATCCATCCATCCATCGTTTGTCCATGTCTTATTCACTCTTTATTTCACTCCTTATTTCACTCATTTCTAAAGGGGGTCTTCTAGACTCTGGTAGCAGACCGATGCACAGAGAAGTCCCTTATTGCAGGATCAGTTCGCAGTCCTGGTCTTTGTACCAGAAAGCTTCAGTTTCCACCATGCTCTCTGTAGAGAACCAGTTTCTCTTCAGCCGTCTGAGCTGACTAACTAACACCAACAAATGTCACATCTGCAGGTCGGAAAAGCAATCACTGCAGGAGAACAAAAACGAAAAGTCACTCGAGGTCGCCTCGTCAGATTTTTTTGTTTGTGCTTCAGAAATCACACAGATGCACATGAAACAGAAACTATTGTACGAGTCTTTTTGTGTCGTTCATTTTCTGAATATTTCACTCAGTCTGAAAGTGTGTGTGTGTGTGTGCATGTGTGTGTGGCGCTGACTCCTGCCACATTCAAGTCCCCCGCCGTCTCCAGTGCAATTAATGATCTCTCGTACAACATTAGCGCCACAATCATGAAAAATTGCGCCGCAGCGGAGTCCCCCAACATATTGAGCTCAATTCATCAAGGGCGTCACGCTCATTGGCGATGTCAAACTTGGTCTCAGCGTTATTGAGTGCCTCAGTAATCAAGTACCTGCCATAAGCTCCGAGGACTGATTGTCTTTTCGTACACACAGTTCACCAAGAGAGATGATTCACTAAATGACTCATCTCGTCTTCGGTTTTACAGCTTTTGGGAAAAACCATTTGAGAGTATTTAAAGCGTAGTTGTTAATCCATTGTTTTGTCTGGGATTGAGCGTTTAACGTCTGTAATTGAAGTTTTAAAGGTCATCAACAAATGCACAACCTCTCAAGAGCATCACATCGCAATGTCGAGACACTTCAAGTTCAACTTGAAGCAGCTTTGGTGGTTTGCAGAAAAATCCAACTCCAAGGTTGTTATGTCTCTCTTTATCACTGAAACTCAAAAACATGTAATCTCCATCGCTTTCAGGCTGCAGTCTGTAAATTTTCAAGATGGAACAAATAGTTTAGCCACACTGACTGTCAGGGCCCTCAGAAGTGATTGCACATAAAAGAGCCATACTTTTGAGTTGTTGTCATATGTTGTGCAGCGTGGATAGAGTTGGAGCTTGACAGGCAAAAAGCTCGGCGTATAAGTGGCGTGAAGACGGGGATCATCAATCACCAGACAGCTCTTCAAGTTACTATAAATCACTGCTTTGCTAGAGGGCATCATCTGTCCCCATCCCACAAACTCAGACGGAGTGTGCGGCGGCGTTCTGACTCTTCACAGACGGGAGGCAAAACCAACATGTACCACTTGTTTTGTTTATTTGCGTCATCAACAATCATACACATTCGTTGGTCTCCCAGCACTGTAGCACGTAAACACAGGACACGAACACCAGTTTGCCCATCCACTGTCATCAGCAAACAAGCCCGTGGATGTTTATCCGGAGACACCGGAGAAAATATTCAGTAGCACAGTAAAAACAAAAAAAAACAAACAAAATAAACCTGCTTCAATAATAAAAACAAACTCAATTACGAACCAACATCAGTGCATGTCTGTAGCATATACAGTATACTCTGCAAATACTCGTACTGTATGGTCACATTGGGAGGGAGTGCTCAGCAGTTCAGAGTGTACAGGGTTTGAACAAAGAGAATAAAAGTCCATAAGATAAACAGCTTCAAACACCGAATCAATCATTGATCTTTTGCTGTAAACAAAACTGAGGCGCCAGAACAATTAGCAGAACACGATGAATGAACCGCCCATGCTGTAAGTAAGCACTGCACTGCAGACAGAAAACCAGGAAACTCGCTGATCGAAATGAAACCTCGCTGAAGTGACTGAGATGAGTGTGCAGAGCAACATGCTACAGAGATACCGTCGAGGGTAATGTGTCTCCTTAAATCTAGTGCTCCCTAAACTATAAGACCCTCTGAGTCCTCTCTAAGTGCTCAGCTACTGGAGTCAGAGTATCCAAAAATAACTGCATTTTCTATTGAAACCATTCAGATACAAATGCCTACATGGAGATACTGAGTATCATTCACCCTCTACAGCAACTGCCAGGGCTATCACAGTATCATAAGTTCACCTTATGGTTGTCGTGGTGATGGTGACGTTCAAACTTAGCCATTAAAAAGATTGTTTCTTATGCTTTTATTTTGAAATTTTAAACGTCTTTCTTTTAGGTTGGTATAACTCCTGTGGTTTTTGGGACATCCCTGGCCTTGTCCTCTAAATATGGAGGTGAAACGTCACACGGGCAATCCTGGTTCGATTCTTGGCCTTATTCTTTGCACTTCCTCCTCGTATCTAAGCAACAAAGTTTATTCAATAGAACAATGCATGCTTTATAGATAGTAGACTATGGATATGCACTGAGTATTACCAGCTGTGCATAAGTTCAAACTTAGCCTAGATCGATAGTTCCAACATTAATACAAGTTATAACTTTAACCTCACTCTGAGTGGGTGTAGAGTCCTCTGTAAATAGGATGTAAATAGAGAGTTTGACATGTTTTCTGCAATACGTTTTGTTAATTAATAATACACTGAAATGGATCAATACTCCTGGAGATCTCCACGTCGTATTTCACATGGTTAATTACCACCTCATCATAACGCGTGGTCATATTTGACCTTTTAATTCATCTTTCCATCTTTCAAAGAGCTGCCATAGCTAGCCAACTCCTGCTTCTTCTCCTTCTTCTTCTTCTACGTCCCTCTGGTTTATGGTTCATGTTAGCCAGCAGGAAAAGCTGCTAGCGCCCCCTACTTTAATTCATAATGTCTCAGTATGTAAGCCAGAATTCATATTTCTTGAATACTGTTAAGGTCAATACTAATATACTGTGACAGCCCGAGTAGTTACTCCTCCTAACACTCAGCTAGTGAGCAAACTACATCAGATAGAGCCTGAAAACTCCTCCAGATATACTAAGAGTGATGCTGCAGAGAGGGTCAGTCTGTTATTTCACTGTCTCTTCTTCTTCAGAGAAGATTATTCTGATGTGTAAAACGGAGTGAATCCTTTGCAGTTCTAGATCTGTGAAATGCTTTAATGGCCCAGACTGAGTCATGATATGAAATGCTCGTTGTTGTTTCATACAGAATGTGAAGTATTGCTGCTATATATGTGCATTCTATGCAAGCATAGAAATAATAAACATATCGTAGCATATTCATTATATAAGATTTTTTGTGGCCAGCTTTCACCACATTTGTGGCATCATAGACATTTCAGAATTTACATATGTTCATATTTACACGCACACCTTGTGCCAGATATCTCTCATCTTCGAGGACTGTATGTGGTCCCTCTCTGAAGTGGACCAGTTCCCAACAGTAAAGCCCGACAAGACCTCCTCACAGGCCTGACATCAGATTCTTTAACAGTGACAAAAATAAATTAAAGAAGTGACACTTTGCACAGAGTGATACTTTTCTATTTTCCATAAGTGCACTGAAACCAGTCTACAGCTGGCACAGGAGGTGTCAAGCGTAAAAGATGAGCTCAGGAATCTGTCCCCCCTGCACCCCTGTTCCGTTAGTGCTGTCAGAGGAGCACTGAAACTGAAAGGTCACTTTCCCACACTGCACCTCTGTCATCCCTTCCTGTCCAAAATAGCTCAGCTCGTTCCCGTCCAGCACCACGCTGGCTGTGTAGAAGGTATCGGGCTCGATCTGCACCGGGTACTCGAACCAGACTGGAAAGGTATTGCTGGAACCATCAGAGAAGTACTTGTTGAGGTTTTGTCCCAGCAGGACTCCTTGTCGTTTCAATTCGATCTTTGCGCTGTACTCTGCTGAGCCACAGCTCGATCCGTAAAGTCCAAACCCAGCAATGAAAACCCTTTTATCCACCGCAAACTGAATACTGTCACAGCGGCCTCTGTAGCGCCACTGATTGCTCCGGTAGGCACAGGACTGGAATCTGTGGCAGCGCTGGGGCGTTAGGCCTTTTCTGGGCTGGCTCGCAAACTGCAGCTCAGGCTTCTTGGCCGCTGTGTACCACAGGAAGATGTCATTGGTCTCAGTGAGTGTCAACACACCCGACTGGGCTGCCCCGTTGGCAAAATCATCCAGCGCCATTGTCGGGATACGAATCAGGTACATGGCCTGGCCCAAAACCTTGCGCTTGTTATCAGTGGACAAGGTGAGCTCCTGTCTCTGGCACTCGGCCTCGGCCCAGCTGAGCGCCGCCTCAAACACCACTATCTCTTTAGCATTGAGTGTCTCCCGCTGCAGGATACTCTCCAGAGTCTGAGAGTCGATGTCGCAGAATCCCTCGGAGCGTAACGCCAGCTCGGCCTGGGCATCAATCACCTCCCAGCAGCGCTGCGTCAGCTCGGGCTCCTCAAACAGACAGCTCTGGGAGAGTAACACACAGGCGTTTTTGGCGCTCAGGCTCGTCTCCAGGAAGTTAACGCAGGCACGTGCCAGGTGAGGGACAATGTACTTCTTGGCAGCATAAAGAGTGGCTAACACAGTGTCAGCACTCAGGTCGATCTCATCGCAGTAAATGTACCTGTGGAAGAAGAGAGGATGCTTGTATTGAAAAATGTCTGATTCCCGTTTCATCTGCAAAATAATTCCAGCGTCTGTTGAAGATTAGGTCATTAAACAATGAGCTAAGGTTATAAAAAAGTGAAATCACAGTTCTGCTGATGCTGACAATAAACCGAGAATTAAAGGTGACGCCGGATCAGCAAGGAGACAGTAGCTAAATAACAGTATTGAGCTATTCAGCAGGAATCACACAAAACAAAACGGTATGAATGAAATGAAAACAGGCAGATATGGATTTGATCTCCGAGACGGAGGGGAGGATCACTTTATTTTTCATCTATCTGGCTGGGTAAGAGACGAGCAGATCCAATAGACTCACTTCACAACTCATTGCTCTTTTCCACCGTCAGTTTGACGTCCCACTTTTGTCCATAAACATGACATTTGTTTAGAAAAGGTAAGATCACGGATCAGGGTCAATGCAGAGCTCTCTTTGTTTTGTCTGAGGATCATTTCGAGGACTTTTCCAGAGACGGTTTACCTGGTATGACAGGAATGTGTAAGCCTGATTTAAATATGTGCCGCCTCAGGCTCAAACCATGAATTCTGACATGCTAATGAATAATGAGGAACTGGTAACTGAGTGATGCATCTGTCTTGTCCTTTCACTGCAGCTGTGCATGAAAGACGTCTGTAAATAATCCCATTAGGATCACAGACACAGTATTTAATGTATGCTCTCTTTGAAGGTAGTATGCAGTCTGACTCTTCTGTTGGATTGGTTTTGCACCATGCTGGGCTGGTTTCTGCAGGGTTTCAGTTCTGGGCGGCATAGATGAACAACGGTCAATAACTGGAGTTATCCCTATAGTTTCTCTATTTATTGGGATACCTAACAAAAACTGGCAATTATAGTCATATTTGATTCTCCCTCTACCCACTCAGGGGTCACTCCTCAGACTGGATTCAATCATTGATAAACATGGCAGAAAACTCGTGTTTGGATACACAAGCGAACAAATCAATGAGTACTATCATTTAGTGACATGCAGCACAGTAAAAAAAAGTAGACGTGTCAGAAAGGGTAACTTGAAAATGATTGAACATCTGGGGATACTCTGTTAGCATAACGCCAAAAGCTGCGTTTACACGGGCACAAAAAATCGGAATAAACGTCTGATCGGTATAAAAATGTGTCATGTAAACATGTCGATCGGGAGATTACGATCCAATTCGGCTCAAACTGAAAGAAATTGTATTCCGATCAAGAAGGGTGGTTTATGCCGACCGTTATTCCAAAACGCGTCCATGTGAACACTTATTCGGATCGTGATTCTCTTACCTGACTCGGTCTTTACTCTTTAGCCTTTGGCTTATTTATCGAGGTCAGTACAGGAGGTTTCATTCTAACACTCTGGCATAAAACACAACCACAGGTGCCGTGCCCGTCCTCCGTTACAGCGCAATGATGTCACATCCGGACGCACAGAGCAACCTTTGACAGAACAGTAAGGTAAATACGCAAGGGCGCCATCTAGTGACACGATTTAACAGGGGGAAACTCCTTAATTCGATGGAGTGAGCCATGACTGTGTTATTTGGTTTGTTGACAGCACAGGCGTTAGTACAACTCTTCTTCTTCTGCAGTTGTTTAAGTGTAATTAGACAACTCTGCGCATGTCCAAATGCTTCTAATCCGAATAAAGCTTGGTGCATGTGTACGCACGTCATGATCAGATTATTTGACTTTGCGCTCACATAAACACTGGATTCAGATTTCCTGATCCCTCAAATTTTTTATCGGATCAAGCAATTTTGCAAACATGTAAACATGGCTGAAGAAATGCTTCATTAACAGGTAACGACTCTGTCCTACAGCCGTTCCTCCTGTGTCCCCTTGTATGTAAGAGTTGAGATATATTTTTACATTTGCATGTGGAGTTTTGGTCTCTTCAGGTGCTGCTGTGTGATGTGATTTTGGGGTGTTCTCAGACTCTCACTATCCCAAACATGATCTAGCCTCCTGATATGAGTTGAGAGGATGTTTGAGTAACAGCATTAGATTTTCTGGGACATTTTTGCATTTTCCATGTGACTTTGATGACTGTAAAGTAGAAACCTCGTATTTGAAGATAGTGCGAGCAGAGACAGAGAAGAAAGTCTTACTTGAGCATTGCTAGAAATGCAGCCGGTTCCACATCTGGGATATGGATTTCGTCTTTGTTCTCGGCCAGTTCGCCATAAAACATGGCGTGAAACACCGAGCTGCCGACAGCCAAAACATACTGTAGAAAAAAGGAGGGAAAAAAGTCATGAGAGGAGAAAACAACACGCCATAATTCATGAAAGATTTCAGCAGAAACAACATAACATGAAGAGAGAGAATGATTACATGAGTGTTGGATGTAATCATCTCACATGTAGCTTTTGTTCTTTACATTAAAAACACAATCCTCATGGTGGATATTGAACGGCGCTCCAGATCTAACCTGTATACTTCTTTCATAATGAGCCTTGTTTACCCCTGAGGACAGGGAGGCGGGTTTCTAATGAGAAAGACTTCAGCACCAAAACAAAGAAAAATCTGAACAATACTGCTGAACAGTGTGCAGCATAAGTTTAATTTGCTGAAATTAATGACTTTCTGAACTTATGATGAAATCAGATGCAACACAATGCTTCTTTTTATCCCGTAATTAGTGCGCTGTACAAGACCAGGCGTTCTGTAATTATACTTTGGCACATTCATGTTTTCGCTCAGTGTGTGCACGTCTGTTTTGGTTGTGTGTTTGTGTGTGTAGGTGGGCGAGTGGGTGGCATGAAATTCCCCGAAAAAGACAAACAGACGTTCTGCAAAATAAGTTGAGGTGAGCCTGCTCTAAAATAAACCGAATTAGTTCTTATTTTTCGTCATAAAAACCTTAATTCATGTTTCATTTTTCACGCTGAGAGGTCAGCTGGAAGTCAGCTGCTCCTTCAGGAGGATTTATTGACGGGTACATAAAATCTGCATATTAGAACAAGATTAGCGTCACCTTTTGACACTTTGTATTTTACAGATGTTCACATTAATCACCGCTTTAAGCGCCGTCCTCCGTCTTGCAGGGATATAACTTTGTGAATTAAATCATAACGCATATCTGACTTGCTGCCAAATGGACACAATAAAGATTGCAGGCCTGAACGCCATTATATCCCATCGGCGTAATGTCTCAGCCGAGTCATTCTGGATGTCCTCCTCATTACCACTTTCTACCAGCTGCAGATAAAACACCCTCCTCCGGTCTGAAAAAGACGACCCGTGACGGTTCACATGTGGAGCAGACAGGAGAGTAAAATTCACGCCTGCAGAATCACTTTTAAGATTTAAAATTAATGTTGTAACCGTTTCATCATTATGCAGTTGAGCCCTGCTATAAAAGACCAACTTAACATCTGACCACATGGATAAAAAGAAAAAGAGCTTTTTGCAGTTTTCTTTAACTACTGCTCAAACGGATCAGTTATCCAGCTCACTGGTTCTCAACAAAGACCCACCACCACCTCCTTAAGGGCCAATCAGACGGTACAAAACGTGGACTTCACTCAACTAAATTTATGAGTTTGAAGTCTACAATGAGGTAAAGAGGTGGAGCAGATGTCTTTAGCCTCCTTGATAACAGCCTGTCAGGAAAGTCACCTGTACCCCTGACTAACTCCCAAAACTCAAAACTTAAAATCCTCAAAACTTCTTGGTCTGTTTGCATTAAAGCAATAAACTCCTGCAAATTTGTCAATCTGAACGATCTGACGAGTAACTTTTTGATATCATTTGCCAAAACACTCATCTACAACTCAATCAAGAACGAGTGCAGCTCGTCTTTAAATATTATCTGCTGACATTGCATGCTTCCCTGTGGCGCTTCCTCTGCTGCCTCACAGGTGAGTCTGCAGATTTGCTGTTGTTGGCAAGTGACCCAACTCAACAAACAGCCCAATCTTTGTCTTTTCTGCGTCTATCTGTGGTTTAAAACCCCAAAACACTTTCACATGGTACTTCTCAGATGTTCCTGTGTTGTGATTTCCAGCTCAGAACAGCTTTGGTTGCAGCACACTTCTTCTGTGTTTGTAGAAAATCTTACTTAAGTCAAAAGTGGTATTCAATAGTCAGGTTACGATGAGAGCATCCTCTGCTGGATCAATTGGCAAACCTATTTTATATTCAAGTTGCTCAATATGACATTTATTTCCCTCAAATTCCAACAAAGTTCTTAAATTTCTATAAAAAGAAATGTGAATTCTCTGTACAGCTGAGAAATGGACGGGTGTCAAGGGACCTTACTGAGTTTCTGAGCCAGCCTCATGTGGACACTTAGGGTACTGCAGTTTTTAGCACTTGCTTCATTTCTTGGCTTTGTAGTTGCTGCTTGGTCCAAACCCAACTTTCTGAAGTTTGTTGTTTATCAGCAAGTGGAAGCTATCATTGAGATGCATCACTATCAGTTATATGAACAAACTTAGCTGCAAACATAGCAAACAGGCCTTCAAAATAAAACAGCAGCAAAGACATAAACATTCTTGAAAACGTAGGATTCAGCCCCTCAACCTCTTTGAAAACATCTCCAAGATAGACCAGAAACAGAGTTAAACATGATGAATCTGCACCGCATTACAGATCTAATTCTGGACAGCTGGTTTCCTTCAGTTTTGATAATAACCAATTAGAACTGAATTAACTCCTACACATAAATCTTTTCACAATAAAGGTAAAGTGCAAAGAAAACCTACAACAAACCAGATGTTACATTGTCTAATAAACCCTAAATGTGTTTATTAAATTGCTAATTATAGTTTAATTTAAGGGCAAATGGAGGACAAGAGTTGATCTCTGAGGAACAGAAACTCGTCACTGTGGTTCTCCTGTGAGTCTGATTGTGTCTTCTCTTTCCTGTGAAATGAACTCAAATATTCAGGCCGAGCAGACATCATAATGTGCTTTTAGAGAGGGCGAGGCAGCTATGAACATTAATCAATCATTTATGTGAACATCTTGGAAAACACGAGGTCACAGGGTGGATTAAACAAAGACTGTCGGGTCTATCTGCAGGTCACATGCGACAAAAACAGGCCCGATTATTCTACTCGTACCTTTTTTTCTGAGGTAGATTAACAGCTCTGTCTTTCACAGATTAAGAAGCTCGTTGGGTAAATGAGCTGAAAAGTGTCTTTAGGATGTGAGAGTCCCTGTCCTGTCGTGGTGAGCGCGCTCTGCTGGATGTGTTTGATTAAAAGTTGAGTGATTGCAGAGCTGTCTGTGAAAATCTGAGCCAAAGCAGAAACAAAGACGCTCCTTTCTTTGAGATGACTGCTGAGGAGGAGATCCCGTCCTCCTTCTTTCTCTCTCTCTCTCTGCGCCTCCATCCTTCAGCCTCATTTACATAAATAATTGAGGACTGTCTCGGAAAGACACATGGTGCGGAAGTGAGAGTGGAGCACAAAGGATTTCACTCCCACTCCAGCTGCTGATGAGGAATATTATTTCTATTCTGATATGATACGATATCAACAACACAGGACATGATTCCCTCTCCTGCTGCTGCGATGTTTTCTTTCTTTTAGAGATGGATGAAAGTCTTACTCTGTGTCCTGGCAGCCGCTGGGTCCTTCCAGGCTGACCCACCACAAAGTGAACATCTGCCATCAGCTCATTGTTGAACATCACCGAGTTTCTGAAAAGATGAAAGGATAAAAAAGCAGGAGAAAATGACTCGTGTAGCCAATTTCAGTAGTAGAAGAAAAGAGGAAAAAAGCAAGTTTTGGAGTATTTTTGATATGAATCCTTTTTGCAGCTTTAAAAAGTAAAAGCAGAGTGTTGAGTTTGCAGAAAGCATCTGTATTTGTCCGACATCTTTTATTTCAATTAAGACAGACTTGGTAAAGTTACGAGCAGACAGAAACCACATTAGACACAAAAAAGTAGTACCAAGTCCTTCAAAGTGACAAAACTCACTGAACCCCGGATCATTTTTTGAATACAAACTCAAGCGGCATAAATAAAGGCATACTAAACAATGAAATGAATGGAAAATCCCCGCTGTGAAGGACCGGGACTGACAATAAAGCGGCGTTCATGTATTATTGAGCAGTGGAACATGTCACAGGCGTGGGTAAACAGCCCCATGATGTTCTGGAGAGACAACAAAGCCGGGTCGGAAAGCGCCCGTTTAGCCGCGGACAGCTGGGGTCTTTTGCTGATAGGCCAAGGTAAATATTTAGCTTTTAGTGCGGAGCAGCCTCCGCCTGTTGTGCAAATCAAACGCACCCGCTGCCTGTCCGCCCTCTGTTATGTCAGAGCGGCAGAGTCTGCAGGAGCAGGAGAGGCTGTAAACACAGATACCCCCAGCAGATCGAGGGCAGGGCAGGGGGGGAACACCCACTGTTGCTCACGCCCACACGCACACACACACACACGCACACACGCACACAGAAATACACACAAAGACTAGTTCCCTTTCTTCAGAATATTAAAGAATAAAAAAATCACATTTATTATTGACGAGCATGTTTGTAAAAGTTGCAGAAATGTCCGGAGCTCACCTCTCTCTGATGGTTGAGTAGAGCCCTTGCCAGTTGCAGTTCTGTATGGTGTTGTTGTTGTTGAGGTTCTGCTGCTGGTACTGCTGCACCGTGGTGGTGGACGCCGGCTTTTTGGTGGGAAAAATGTCCGCTGCCATCTTCTTCTTCTTCTTGCTCCTCAGAGTGATAATCTCATAACAGACGGGGGGCAGCTTGGAGCTCCCACTGGCATTCCCTTTCTTGGAGTTCTTACTCGACTTGCTTTTCACGGACTCGGGAAGCATTAAGAAGAAAGTCAGACATTTCATGTTCCTTCCTTTGGCATCGACCATGAGTGTGTTCAACTGCCGAGCAGTGGGAGAGCATGCAGAGAAGAAGACATTCACCAGGAGCAGGCAGGTGGAGGGAGGACAGAGGGGGACGTGGAGAGAGGAGAGCAGAGACCTGAAGTGTTCTCAGCAGAGTCGGAGTTGCTGTGAGAGGTTTCACCTTGCAGGAACTGGCAGAATAACTCTCCTGTTTACTTGAGGCAGACTCAGACTGGAGCTCCAAAGGCACTTTTCCTGTGTGAAGTTTGATCCACTGACGCAGAGGCTCTGTGAGTTTCCATTTGCTCTCTCTCAGTGTGGTGAGATCAGCTCCTGAAAGCTTTTACTCTGCTCCTCTTTCTCACTCACTGCTTTGCTGAGGGTTGGCCTGACAGCCCCAGATTTAGTACAGCTGCAGTGCTCCTCACACAGGCAGCGAGCTTTCCTTAATTCCTTTCATTTCCCACTCTTACTCCTCGCAGCCTCTCCTCCTCTTTTGGTCTCCTTTCAGCTGTGGATCTGTCTTCCTCTCCCCGTCACTCCTCCTCCTCCTCTCCTCCATGGAGCAGAGTCCTCTGCAGGATGCTGGAGCCGTGGATGCTGCGCTGCTCTCCTCAGCCTCTCGTTCTGCTGACTACAGAGGTTGAATGAGAGAGTGCAGAGGAGGTAGAGAGCCCCCCCTCCGCCCCTTACAGCACAGTGCACGGCTCTCTCCGCGGCTCAGCCAATGGCGGCGCGCAGCATCCATGATTGGCTAATGCAGCTGAGTGCAGCACATACTTGAATATGCAATAGACAACGACTCAATTAAAGTGACAGCCGTGCTGGAGAAGAATGAGATAATCAGATGGAGGTTTGCTTCACCTGCAGCCACAGCCTTCAGTCTGTAAACAAAACCTCAGATTTACCTGTTTTACATTTACATGAATCTGTTTAACGCTCGCTTTCTTTGTTTTTGATAGTGATCCTCTTATTTATGTTGAATTTGCAGAACATTTGTATTTAGTTTGATCGCTCTTCGGACCTCCAAACAGGCTTTTGAATATTTTGCTTGAATCATCCTCAGAAATTTAACTTTTTTATTAATTTGAAGGTTTTACAAAAGTTTCCTCAGAGTCTTCCTCTTCACTTCAAATTCCTCCCAAGAACTTGAGTCTGCACCGAAGCTTTCTTGTTAAGTCATCTCTTCAGGAGAGTACATAAGGCTATAAATGAAATGCACTCTTTGCACAATGTATAATGCATACGGCTCCTTTGCTCTCCGTGTCCTGTTGGGCCTTAGACACACTGAGGATTCTATTTAAAGCTCGGGGATGATGAAGCTTTTTGGCGGTGGTGCTGGTTTAAAATGTTATGAAGAGGTACTTTTATTTAAAACTCCTGCGGGGATCTGAGGAGTTGTATTGATTTTGGCGCCCCCTGTGGACAAAGCGGTTCCTTTTATCCCTGTACATGTGTGAGCAGAATTTTCCAGCTCAGCCTGCTGACTGTTAACCACCAAAAGTACCAACTCATAAAATCTTTGCAGTTTTGGCAGCGAGCCTCAGCTGACTCCCACCCGCTGTGTTTGCAAACATTAAATATATATGCAAAGAAGCAGCTCTTCTTCCTGCTGATGGTCGTGTTTGTTTTTGCCGGTCAATATTACTCTCAGCTTGTTTATTTGAATTCCCTTAAGCTTTTCATTATAGTGTTTGCAGTTGAAATGTGACAGTATGATACACATATTTACTCTGAATCTCCCACTACATAAACATCATACATTAAACATGAATGAGGGGATATTACGCTCATTTCAGCAGCTTTATATTGGTCTTCTTTCTCAGGCTGGTGTCTTAAAAGCTTTTATTCCAGCCTCTGTCTCTTTAAAACGGACTCAGCTCTCTGGAACCTCTTCCATTGCTGCCATTCTACCAAAGTGTTGGCAATGAGTTAATGTAGTTTCTGTGTTTCAACCCCAAATGTTACCTCAAATAACCCCCAACCATGAAGAATAGACACGTCTTGTGTTTGTTATGCTCTTATAAAGAGATTCACCAACTGGTGATGTCACAGTTTGAGCAAATCTTGTGAGGATCTTGTTTGACTTGTTGAACCAACCACTCGGGGCAGCCTGCAGTCTCATCCTGAGATAACTCCAACACATATTTAGTCTTGACATACAACAGTTTACTTAATATGAAGTCATAAATATGTAAAAAAAATAAACTTTCGCATCTTTAAACAACATATATCCCGTCATGCATCTGCAGTATTTTGCACACCTTTTGATTCAAAGTGTTATCTGCTTCATTTTCATGTGATTTGTACTTTATTATTCAACTGATTGCTTTCGATATTTAATAAACTTTACTATATTTTCTTAAAACCTTTTTTGACCAGTAGCTTGCACAAACAGATGGCACGAGAAGAGCTTCACAGCTGCACAAAAAACACACATTGTGGACTTTGTTGAATGGAAGTCTTTATGCAAGAATGAAGATTAAACCTTAACTGTCTTATATATTAGTGTGACATCTATTCTATAAGTTTAGTACCGCCGTTCCAGTCTACCACTAACTTTAACTCCATCTCTAAATTTGTGTTTAAGTTTGTAATAGCTTTAGCTAAATAAATGAGGGACTCATCAGCATAGATTTACATACGTGACTTTTCTAATTCTTGAAGTTCTCAGGATTTTTAGTAAAGAGTATTTAAAGCAGCAGCCTGATACTGCCTCCTAGAGGAGCTCCAGGCATCGCAAGTAAAAGGTCCGAGACAGCTTCGTTGTGGCACTCCGTGTTCACAAGGTTCACATCTAGATAGTGTGAACTGAAATACTCCATCTTTCTCTAACAGTGGCATCTTTTTTCTCCATGATAATTCAGTTTGCAGAAAGTTATTTTTTTCAACATGAACTCATGACTGATAATGTTAAAAAGCTGCAGAGAAATCAAGCACTACAATAACAATTGTCTTCTTATTCTCCTTCATGCATATTGAAAATCAGTGACTGAACTATCATCTAAAAAAAACACAATCTGTTTAATAATCAGCAGAAATCTCTTTATGGAGCTTTAGAGTAATTACAGTTTGGTCCATGGCTCTGTGGTTTTACTACCTCTTTAATTGTACACCTAATAATGATACTGGAGTACTTAGAGGACTACTGCAGTTTGTTAGAGTTTTAATATTGTATCATGTTTGCAGGAGTGGAAACCAAACGCAAAGAGAGCAGGATGAGGTGGATAAATTTAATTGAGAAAGTCTTCCTTGAACTGCTGTCACAATATTGATTTTTCCATAAACCCTAATTAACTGTCTCCGAGTTTGAGGGGCATTAGCCCACTAAGCTCCCTTATGCAGTGAGCTCTGGAGAACACAGAAAACCTGCTATGGTAACATGGAGCCAACATTACCGGGCACTATACTCTCAGATTGCAGGCCACTAGAGATGTTACCTAGGTAACCACCTCCTCTGGCAACAGCAGGACAGGATGTAGTATACAGGCAAACAATGAGGATGGTAAAGGAGCAGTCTTGATATAAAATCTTCATCCTCTGAATTAATGAGATAAGATCAGCTTTACTGGCCTCCACAGGGGGACGTTTATTTTATACAGCAGCTGACAAACAGAGGAGAGTGAATTAGGTAATGAAGTGAAATGAGGCAGACATTAAAAATATGGAAGGAATAAAAGGGTGTAAAAACTGCAAAACAAGTCATAATAGTGAAAATAAAACTTTAAAAGGGAGTAAACATTTTCTCTGCCCAGTGACAGAACTAAAAATGGTAAAGGTGGAAAAGCAACATCCTCCAGTGTTCATGAATGAAACCAACACATAAGTGCAAAAAATATGCAGCTCAAGCAGACCTGAGACTTCGGGACCTGGTCTTGATTGGGTGGTTGGGTGCCTTACAAATACTTGGGACTGTGTTTGACATCTACAAATATTTTCAGGTGTACCTTTTCAGTCATGTGACTTGTGTAATGCACGCTTAGAATTTGTCAGAAACTTCATTGTTGTGGCCAAGAAACTCTTGGAAACAAGATTTTTAATCTCAACGTGTTTGTTCTGGTTAAATCCAAAAATATTTATGATCAAAAACTTTAAAAATTAGCCAATGATGTGACTTAATTAGGGTGTCACGGCGCTCACCAACCATCAAAGAAGTCTACTTTTCCTTTGATTGCTTAGGTTTGTTAGAGGATGTGCACGTCTGGTAGAAGATGATTAAGCATCACCATCCTTGTTAGTCTGCAGCAGAATTATTATTTGTTGACATTAACCAAAGATATTTCTTTAGAGTTGTCCATTTGTTGGTTGTAAATTGTGTCTGAGCTTTGTCATGGCCACTCTCCATTGGCTGGGTCTGTGTCTGTGGTTAATGCTCTACTATCTGGACCCAAACAAGCACAGATAACTGGCAGAATTAGGCAGCACAGTGAGATATTTTGATGTACACACTAGTCAACTACAGCCATGTGTAACCAGCACATGCATGTGGACATAAACCTGCAAGGAGGACTGAAGATGGGTGGTGCTAGCTCTGCTAATGTTAGCCACTCTTAGGGAAGCACTTTGACATTGTTTACTTGGGTGTCGTGGTCGTTTAGGCGTGTTCAACTTAAAAAAAGGGTCACAAAGATTATCTCTATATCTCAGCTCCACCTTTTCCTCCAAATATGTCCCAAAAAACAACATGGTGCTGGTCAAATGTTGAACCCCAGGCTTCATTTATGCAGCAAAGAAACCCAAAACTGCAGAGAAAAGAAAAGTCCTGATTTGGAGGAGATGTTTCTCTGATTCTGGAGCAATCCTTTGCAAACACTAACTACTGAGTTCGAATTATAATCCCCAAGAAGCAGCCGTGATAAACACTGTCAGGATGCACATGTTAAACAGACAGTTTGATGATTTATCAGGCATCACAGAGCAGCAGCCCGCCTGATAAATAGGATGTCATTATATATCACCCTGAATGGCTTCCCGCTTCCCTTAATTATATTTTCTCTCCATTCATCAGCAGAAAATGTAATCGTGTTATTCACACATTTGGAGGTAACAGCGAGAGGAGGAAGTAATGATGGTGTTGTCATGGCGTCAACATCACCTTTGTCTCACACTTTGTCATCCCATAATCACACATTTTCACAGTAAAGACACACATTAGCTTGAGAGTAGTAGCACGAAAGCCAGAATCTCAGGTTTCTTTAAAAACCACGGATGATAAAACCAAACAGAAATTAACGCCATGATCGCAGGCGGCTGTAAGTGTGAAGACAAATCATAGATACGTCTCACCATACCTCCTCTGTCATTTTTTAATAATCTTCAGACAAAATCGTGAACTTTTGACCTCCTGATACAAGACCATTTAATTCCTTGACCCCGGTACGCAGTTTGAATATTTCTCTGGTATTTCAGAGCTTGGCAGTACTCCAGCTTCGGCATATTAGCCTCAAACAGTGGAGTTAAAAAGCAGCAGAAGTCCAGCTGTGCCTCTGATGATTGCTTCTTGATGACAGTACTCAGTGCAGCGCCTTTATCTTCAAAGTAGCCAAACTGAGAACTTTATCTTTCAAGAAATAACTGCAGCAGGTGTGAAACAGGTATCAGCCGGGGAAGGTAGATAAAGAAGAAACAGCCAGGTGCCCAAAATATTCTGTAAATAAGAAGTTTCTTCAGAATTCGT